TCAATGGAAATCGTGTGACGGGACGTCCCGGCTGATTGATGGAAAGTAAGAATCTTAATGAACTGAAAGTTTATTAATTTCAATCCCTATTCCTCAATTCACAATGTATTGTGTCTGAAACAGTTGGAGGAAGTCATTGATTATCAGCTACACCACCAAGAATATTTAGATATAATTTACTATTAGATTATTTGATGAATTCTCGGTTGCTATTCTAACCAGAATACATATTAATCTTCTAGAGTTATGGTAAATCATACCCCGGAAGTTCACGGTAAATAATTACAATAATTAGGATATCAGCTGGAGAGGGGGGGGGGGGTAACGTCCACTCGACACAAACTAGATTATTTCAGGACTAACATGGTTCAATTTTATTTCGATAATTTGCCTGGGCGTTGCGGTCTTTAGCAGTGGGAGGAAACCAGGGGACCCAGAGAAAACCGACGAGGTTGGACAGGCGACCCTACTCCTTGTCACATGCAACTGGGGAATCGAAACTACACCAGCTGACTCAATGACAGACCTTACGATACAGCACCCACTTGCTAACTATACGGTCATCCAACCCCTTACATATAGATATGAAGAGCCCCGGGGAAGAACTATCTAAGTCACTTTTTCAATGAACCCCAGTTCATTATGTAAAACATTTGTTCCGGATTTTATGCATGTTTGGTGTTGTTAAAAGGGCAAAATGTAAGAAAGGCCCCAGGCCTAATTTTCTACCCTTTTGAAATAAAGTGATTATTATTATTATTATTATTATTATTATTATTATTATTATTAATGGCGCCATCTGATAGCAAATTGTATAAACTTTCTGTGGAACTCTCAATTTCAGGTAAAAAACATCGGAGTAACATCGAACCAAAGCCCTTCTGAAATGACTTCCCGGACAAATACGTCCATCGTACCCTTTATTTGACCTTAATTTGGCTGAAAAGTGGAGTTTCAGTTGTATTGGTAATTATGATTCGTATTAAAACATCATTTTGAAGTTGTAATTAAACGCACTCGTTGTTCTGGTCGCGTCAAGCATTCTCGTCCAAAATTCTGTTTTGCCTTTTATGCGAAAAGACAAAAATGTGACTTAGATTGTTCTTCCCCTGGACTCTTCATATGGCTTGTTTAAATTCAAATCTATTACTACCTGGTGATCAGTCTATGGTGCAGTGGCTAAATGTTGAAAACAGAATTAGTGAATAGTACAACTGGTCAGATCTCAATGTAGTGTAGGCCATCGAAAGTATAATAAAAAGAAACGAAATATAGATCTGTATTTTAATCAGATTGGTTAAGCTGCTGATTTCATGAATGGAGAAATTTCAACATTTTAATGTCAAACTAAATTCTGTAAAGGCATGTCTCATCAGGGGCAGAAACGGGGGTGGGGAGAAGGGGGTATTTCTCCCTTTAAAGATAGTTTACCAGACAACGAAACATACGCCCACGTCAGCTAAATCATCCAGCAGTCGACAAGGAATGTAGCATATTTATTCTTTTGTAGGTAATTGTGGGCATTTACAAGACAATTTCATACAGATCATACAAACTGAAACAAGGGCCATAACTCTTTAAGTAATTTACAGAACTTGTTAAAATTTGACAGGCTTTTTCGTTTAAACAAGGGCCATAACTCTATAAGTAACTTTTAATGTTAGGGCGTTCACAAGGTGCAACAAAGTGAAACAAGGGCCATATCTCCAGAGGTAATTAACGGAAATTATTGAAATTAAATAGGATTCTGCATCTCACTAATGTGGACAACATATATCAATTGTAAAAGAATCGGGTGATAACTTTTGGTGCAAGTGGACGACGGACGGACCGACAGTCCGGGGCGACGATAATATACATCCACATTTCCACGTGGGCGTTTAAAAACAAGGCAATCCCAGCTAACCATTAGACAGGGGACGATCTAGTCAAACAGGGGCGTGTCTAGGAATTTAAGCAGCGGGGGTACAATTTGAGCCAAAACAGCGGCAATATTTCGCACGTTAGTTTTTAAGCCGTAAAGAAATTTTGCCCGGACGGCAGCTCTACGACCTACTCTTATTTCAAATTCCAACTGTCAAGGGTACTTTTTATGTTCATGCCAATGTGAACACTAGACCTCGTTTTTCTCCCATCAGAGCGACTAAAAGTTGTCCCTTGTCAGGCCCTACGCCATTGACAGGCTTGAACCACATTGGAACTTTTAATAAAGAAATAAGGGAAACTGAAAACTGTTTTTAACAGAAGAAAATTTATTATCATGACATCAAATATTACAAATATATTTATGAATGGAATAAATCTGTTATTTAATAATAGACAATAATAAGTTGACCTTACACAAGTTATATTACATTGAACTAATTACCTGTATTAATATACCTGTACAGGTACCTGTATAGGTGATGATGGTTATAGGAGAACAGGTAGATTATAGTGTGGTGGGGGTGGGGCACTTACAGCATATATATATATATATAGAGAGAGAGATGTATGGGCCATATGTAAAAGATGCGGGGGACCGGGATAGGATTGGGTATATTGAGTTACCGGTTATATGTGATAGCTGCGGGTGACCAGGATAGGATTTAGCGTTCCACAAAGGGATTGTGTACATAGAGAGGTATGGGTTTTATGTGACAGCTGCGAGTGACCAGGATAGGATTTACCCTTTCACAAATAAATTGGGTATATAGAGGTACGGGTTATATATGAAAGTCGTGGGTGACCAGGATAGGATTTAGCCAATCCTTTTAGAGAGAGAAAGCCTGTGATATATACTAAAAATGAATATTTGTTTGTCCAGGGTGAGTGAATTTTCGTATCTAATAGTTGATCAAGTTGTGGTATATATATAAAAACTTTACAACCACATCATTATTGTACAAAAATAGAATAAATGAGGTGGGGGATGGGGGATGGGGAAGATAAAAGGGTAATAAATAGATATTCAAGTGGATATTATTACAATAAATATAAATGTTGACAATATAATCTAGTCTGTTGTATAATTAACTCACAATGATCTAATGAACAAATGACAATAGTTGAAGAAATGGATTTGATTTTTTAAAATTTTCACACAATAATATCAGACATAGTTAAATAGTCGAGAGCGATACGTTAAGTAATATATGGATACGGATACTATACAGGGGTGTTATCCCGAGCTGTTGTTTCAATATATTACGCAATGTCTTGCTTTTGACCTTTAAACAATTTCAAATACAGACACCAACTCGGATGTGTATCAATCTGATTTAAAACACAGATCCTATTTCGTTTCGTTTTTTTATAGTTCAAAATTTCGTTTTATTTGTCTTTACTACACTAGGATCTGGAAGAGTTGTTATATAACATGCGTTCCTGATGGCATGAGGTATTAGCCAATGAAACCATCTGTTACGACGACTTCTTGGCATGTCATGCACGGAACTGTGGGTAAAGCACTAGAAACGTCAACACTGATTGATTAATCAGTGTCTGACGTCATAGGGTCAAAAGCCGCTCGTATGACCCCTGACACGACCTTCCACTACAACCGGTCAGATCTTCCTGTAGTGTAGGCCATCGAAGGTATAAAAACGAAACGAAATATAGATCTGTATTTTAATCAGATTGGATGTGTATTTGAATGAAATACTCACGCATGTCCAATATTTCACCGTAGTATAAAATAATGTATTGATATGGCACAAACCTGCATTTCAATGAAATCGTCACGCGAGTCCAATATTTCATCTAATATAAAATAATGAACGTTTGCCGTAACATTATTTGAATAATGGGATACCAACATCAAAGGATGATGTCACATCTGTATTTTAACTGGTTTTATTTATTAGTCAAATCACTTCACTTCATTTTCATCATGAAGTCATAACCTATTAACTGGGGTGGTAATGAAATGAAATGAGTTTTTACTGCCTACTTTTCTGGGCTATGAGAAAAATAATTTTGCCCAGGCAGCGGTTTTTCAGCCTACTCTTCAGCGAAATTCCAACTGCCAAGGGTTCTTTTATATACATGCCAACTTGTACGCGGGATATTAATTTGCGGTCACATTCAAATGAATAAACGATTTTCCTAGCGAGGCACTCCATCTTACACCCACTGGAGAAACCTAACTGGACATTCCTGAAAAGGTTTCCCTACCAACACCAGAATCGAATCCAGCACCTACATGTCAAGACAACTCATTAATTATAGATACTTGGCCATACGAATATTAATTTACAATTTAACCAGTTTGATGACGAGACCAGTATTAGGTGTTTATGATTGATTGACACCTAAACATATTTGATCTTTTTCAGCCAATTAAAGAGCCTTTACCAACTTTCTGCGTTAATTGACCAAATATAAAATGTCTTTGGTTAGTTTGACAAAGTCCATTTAACTCGCTCGACAGACAAAAAATAAGCTTTTAGAAAAAATGCCATTCAAATCTTTATGCGAGGCATAATAGGACCGCATCACGTTAGCAACCTTGAAATAGAAATAAAGTCACTATGGAAACCCAATCGGATTAAAACACAGATCCTACTTCGTTCCGTTTTTTATAATTCAAACTTTCGTTTTACTTGTCTTTACTGCACTAGGATCTGGAAGAGTTGTTACATAACCTGCGTTCTGGTTGATGTGAGGGAATAGCCAATGAAACGGTCTGTTATGGGGAGTTTTTGATGTGAGGTGCAAGGAACTGTGGGTAACCCACTAGAAAAATTAACGCTGATTGATAATCAAATGTTGGATGTCATAGGATCAAAAAACGCTTGTATGATCGCTCAAGCGACCTCCCACTACAACTGGTCAGATCTTCATGTAGCAGAGGCTATCAAAAGTATAACAAAAGCAAAACGAAATATATTTTAATCCGATTGCATGGAAACCATTACCTATTATATATATTTCTGGACAGTGTTTTTTTTAAGATGTAAGCTAAATGTTGTGCATAAACTACTTATATAACTTACAATATATAAAACATACTCTTGACATACAGTACGAAAATACACAAACTTTTATTCTATATAGGCAAATAATTTCACTATTACATCGGGTGGCGTAGCTACAATTTGTCATACAACACAACATACATCAAAAATATTTAGTAAACAAAAAGCAATGTTTTTGATGCAAAAAGAAATTGTGTCCGGTGTTTATCAATGTTGTAGAGCCTGTCCAGAACCTTACTAGTTAACTAATTGTTTAATACATTAAGGTTTGTATCATATTTTAGTCTAACAATACAAATTATTTATAACTGACATCTGGGGTCCAATTCACGAAAATTTAAAGTAAAAAATTTGAAGGATACAGCCATTTCATTGGTTGAGATTTTAAAACCTCGTAACAAAGGTTATCTCTTGATCAATGAAATTGCTCAGTTCTTAAGCGAGAGAGAGAGAGAAAAAAGGGCTTCAACGTCCACTCGAAACAAACTAGGTAATTTTGGGCCTGACATAGGGTTCAGTTTTATCGTAATTAGCAATGGGAGGAAACCAGAGGACCCTGATTAAATGGATAAAACCCGTGAAGTTGGATAGACGACCATACTCCTTGTCACGTACAAGCGGGGAATTGAAACCACACCACTTAACTCAATGACAGACCTTATGATCCAACATGTTAACCATTCGCCCCCCCCCCCCCACCAAGTTCTTAAGTTATTTAAATTTCATTCGGAAACAGTAATATGTCTAACTCAACTGTAGCATAACAGAGTTATCCCCCTTATATACAGATGTCTGCTAGAAAATATTTTTACGTTGTCCCTTGAATAACAATCTGATTAAAACACAGATCCTATTCCGTTTCGTTGGGATTAGCCAATGAAAGGGTCTGTTACAACGAACTTTTGGCGTGAGGTGCACGGCATTGTGGTTAATCAAATGTCTGACGTACTAGGGTCAAAAACCGCTCAAATGACCTCTGACACAACCTCCCAAAACAATTGGTCAGATCATCATGTGGTTTAGGCCATTGAAAGTATAAAAAACGAAACAATATATAGATTTGTATTGTAATCAGATTGATTGAATAACTTATAAAGTCAACATGGATGGACGACTTTCTCCATGACATCATATTGTCACATGTCATCGATATATTTATACATGACAATACATCTTTCAATATAGAACTAGTCCTTGAATAACTGATGTTCAATCTTTTTTATAATGACATCATTTGGCCCAACCAAAGTTAATTTCCTGTCTTAAAAAATTTCGGCACGGTCGCTTGGCAAGCACATACGTCATGACTGTTCCTCCCCCCCACCACCCCCTTAAATTTAACTCGGTAACTGTGACAAGTCAATTGAAGCGTACCTACATCAATGTTAGGACTACCACCAGTTTCACCTACTGTTCTATAACGGCCAATCAAAAAAGCTCTTTCACAATAACTTGATCTACATCTTGACCAATAATCCATGCTTTGACATAAACACCTGATTGAGATTGTGATTATAATAAATGGTTTGATATCGTATGAATGAAATGGCTGAATTCTGGTTGTAAAAGGGGAGATAACCAGGCAACAACATACACTTATTTGTATCACTCCTAAATAACCCATTGATGACCCCGTGAAAAATGTTTTTGTGTATTTTACGATGTTTGGACATTGCATGTATGAAGTGGCTGAATTCTGGTTGTGAAAGTTCAGATAACCAGACAACAAAATCACTCCTAAATAACCCACCAATGACCCCACGAAAAATGTTTTGCGTATTATATGAATATAATAAATAAGTAAAATAATGAATTGGTTAATCACTTTCAGTGTCACTATCTAACGACGACCATTCTACTTCCTTTAGTAAGCCCTGTCTGACGGCATGATCGATAACTCCCAGATGACAAAACACGTATTGATCCGGCATCTGTATACTATATGCTCGTTGACTGCGGATTCTTCTGACTGTTTCACGTATATCAACTGTTCCGATATCGTCTAGACGACGTAACGAGATATCAATAGTTACAAATGTACCTACAATTCAATAACATGTCATTTAGTACTGGTCGTTTGTAAAGAACGTAAATAAATACACAGACTAGGTCATTTCGGGACTAACATAGAGTTCAATTTTATTTCAATAATTTGCTTACGCATTGGGTTATTTAGCAGTGGAAGGAAACTGGAGGACCTGGAGAAAACCCACGAGGTTAGACAGGCGACCCTACTCCTTGTAACGTATAAGCGGGGAATCGAAACCACGCCAGTAGACTAAATGACAGACCTTATGATACAGCGTGCACATGCTAACCATTCGGCCTTCCAACACCCCTTATGTCGACGAACAAAAACACTGAACAATGATTGTTTTAGGTCGAACAATAAGTCTAGCTTCAGATAACATCACTGCAGATGATGAACATGGTCCCACAGACGAACAAATGTTTTAGCTTGAACAAAATATCCATATATTAACATACATCATATGTATGTGATCGTGGATTGGTGTAGCACGGAAAAAATCTTTGCATGTTCGGCTTCAACGCAGACGACCCAAATATCTAACAAGTTTGATTTCATGAACATTTTATCGAAACATTTTTGTTATTCTAAACCCGCAGATCAAATTGATCTGAAGAATGTTTGCATGGATGTTCGGCTAAAATGTTCCATTGTCTGCATTTGGCTTTAGACCTTAGTAGCAACACATAATGTTTGAATGAGTAACCATAACAACTACTGACCTGTTCTTCCGATACCAGCGCTACAGTGAATAACGATAGGTGGTCCGAGAGGATGACCTTGCCATTTACTTCCTAGGTCCTTGGTAGCATCTTCCTGGGCTTTACGTACGTGAAATAAGAAATCAAGGAAACCGGTCGCTGGTGGAATACCGTAATCTGGCCAGGCTGTAAACTGTAAATGGGTCACCATCCTTTTTTCTCCTGTCTGAAAACATAAAAATAAAATACACATATCATGGCATCTTTACAATTACTCTAACGTTCCCTGGATTAATCTTTACTTTTTATCCTAAATCTCAGTTTTCATTCTAGTTTTACTTCGTTTTACATTTAGTATTAAATCTAGGCCTTAACTTAATGGTTCCTGAAGTTTTTTCGGGCTAATTGATATGCATGTACTAATCAGCTATGATCAATGACACCTTTTGTGCGTTAGAGAATCTATTTATCCCTTCACTATGGGTACAGTCCTGTGTCAATACTACACTTGACTAATAATCAATATGCACTATTGTGTATGATAAAACAATGTAGACCAGACATAAGTTAGTTTCAACTTCTTCAATTTCTTTAAAATTAGCTGTTGATCATAATTAGGGAACAAATAGACCTAGGGAACGAATTATCCGGGGACAAATAGTCTGGGGACGAATTATCTAGGGATGAATAGTCCTAGGGGATGAATTGTCTTGGGACTAGTTGTCTGGGGAAGAATTGTAACGTACCCCATTATTATATGTGTTGAGACCCATTCGTGTCCATTTCTAGGTGCCCAAGGATAGGGATTTAGCTCCTTTAACGTGCACTCAACACTAACAAGAGAAGAGATATACAAGCGAAGGAACGTACCTTTTTATTGTGTATATCTAGTTTAGTTTCTATGTAATCTTTGTGTTGTTTGATAGAACTGTTAAAAACAACAAATTCTTCAAATTCTTCATCCATCGATTCTTCGTTAGGCCAATATTGTCCACATTTCATTCTCTGTCTTTCTATTGTTCTAGATAAAATAAAAATTATACACATGCTTAAATAGGAAACAGGAAAAGGGTACGGCAACACTCCCTTAGAGAGTAATTAAAGCTGGACAGGCTGATACATCTGCGTGGAGACTGGATCAACAGATGATACCGGCGGGGCGGAGTAGTAAAATAAAATTAAAGAATCCCCGCTCAACAGAATACACAACAGACTTGTAGAAGTAGAAGATTGTTTAATTTTATTTAACATGCTTAAATACTAAAAATTAACTTGTTCATTCGTTCCTGGAGTTTTACGTCCACTTCCAACAAGGGTGTCAAGAGTTAAAGTAGCTAAGTCTCTAACTCAATATCATCTAAATTCTTCGACATTGAAAACACGAATAATCTGTCAATTTAAATCAACATTGATGCTGTGGTCTTACCGGGTAAAGATGGGCTTCTAATATCTAATATTTAAGAAAAAATAAACATTTTACCATTGGTACACGAATCATGTACCATAGTGCATTTCAGCACAATTTGTAACATGGGCTTGAAGAACAAGGTTAGACATATTCCACCAGTCATGTCAAACGTTGACTACATATTCTTATCTGGGGAGCATGCGCAATAAATACGATCGGTGTAGACTGGAATAACCAGACGCTAGAGATTGCCATTCAATTGATTTGAAATTAGAGTAAAATGGAAACGATTGAATGTAAATCAGTTTATATACATTTATATGACATTATTATATGCGTTGCAACCAAATGTGTCAATTTCTAGGTCCCAAATATTAGCGATTTAGCTCCTTTTACTGGTGGAATTCATTGTGTATTATTTATTTTGCTTAGTAACAACTCAAGACCATTCCCGGACAGACCCTCCGTCCTGCACCAGTAACAAGGAGAAGCCAAGCAGGAAAGAGAACTTTCTCGGCCAACATCCTGGTCAAACCCCTGGCCCCAAGTTCGCAAAGCATTCTCAGACTTAAGTTGAGAATTTACTCAACTTTCAATCACTATTTATGAGAATTATCTTTGATCCAGAAACACAAAACTTTTCGCATAATTTCTTATTGATGTATTGGATAGATTAAAACAACAAAAGTTATATAAAGGGCTATATTCTAGTTTAAATATGGCAAACAATTTTGAGTAAATTCTTAACTTATGTCTGAGAATGCTTTGTGAACTCGGGGCCTGATCTCTTGGTTAGTGAGCCAGTGTCCTGCTCATACTAAACTTAGGCTGTCTGTCTACAGTTAGCTCATACTAAACTTAGGCTGTCTGTCTACAGTTAGCTCATACTAAACTTAGGCTGTCTGTCTACAGTTAGCTCCGCTTGAGAACAAACACTAAGCTAGTTGACCGTCATTTTTAGTCCGAAATCGACAAATTTAGTCGAAAACACTAAGTATATTTTGAGACGTATGTATTCTGCTTTCATTTATAGATACATTATGTAAGATTTAGATAAACAGCTGACCAGTTTTGCTATAGTACTGAAAATTTCATTAAAATTACTTGATTCTGAGCCAAGTTATCACTGTTTGTAGTTTTGACAAGATGTGTGCATTGTGGTAGCCAGGGCACTGGTATATTCAAGTCTTAGCGAACCATTCTAATCTAATTAAAATCTTGAGTATCCGGTGCCATCGAGAGTTGATTATGGTCTTGATAAGTGTAGCACCATGGGTCGTTTGTCAGACGTGGAAGGTGGTCAGCGCTAAACCTGGTCGCCACATCCGACGTATAACCCATGCATCGTTTTTTTTACTACATATTCTGGAACAGCCCATGATCGTCTAGTATTGTCTCTGGCCGCATTTGTTTCTTGTTTTCTTCTTGTCGGACTTCACTTTAAATATTGTGTATTTATTCTGCCATTCAGTTTATGGTTACACACAGTAACAACAATACCACATTTCGTTTCTATATTTTATATTAAGCACTGCTACATATAGGTTACAAAGTTACAAGCATAATAAAGTCATTCTCTCTAAACCGCTCTCATGCAGACTCAGCGAGTCTGCTGATGGAGATTCCTACATCTTCTCCCTACGAGAACTACATGGCTGTCTACCCTAGAACGCACATATTCTATTAATTATATATTCTCAGATTCACACCCATTAATTATTCTATTGGCTAATTATTATGTAATTAATCATGTGATTGGTCACTCTTGCCAAATATGAAATGGTAACTTTCCTTCCACGTGCGTTTCAAACAATAACAATTTATCCTTGAAAAATGCAAATGACCATCATGTTTACTAAACTCTAACTGCGTTAGTGTATCTAAACAACCAGCATACTTTCTCTATTTTTGGTTATGAAGTTAGAATCAATAATTTAATACATAAAGCTATTGTTCTAGCCATCATATTTCTACATTCTTGTCTTTAGACCCCATGTCTGGTTATTGTCACAATATTTATAGCCAATTTGAATTTGCGTTTCCGAATTAACTTATACCTTAGCTAATATTTTGGCAATGGAGAATAATTAATCAACACGCTAATATTATTTTACATAGATGTTTCAAAGCACAAATTCTTTCCCTCCATATTACTACATAAGTTAATTAATGTCTTATTAATAATTTAGATAACATTTCAGGCCTAAAGAAAGACCTGCAATAGGCAAATTTAGCTCTTGCATAATGTATGTTTAATAAAATAGAAAATGTTTATTTAGTAAGCCCTGGTGTAGTAACCCTGACAACAGGTAACCCTGAGATTATTCCAGGCCTACACAGTGATTCCAACCAAGGTATGGGATATAAACAGGGTTAGCACTAACCCTAGACCTAACCTACAATCTCGTCAACTAGGGTTGGGCGATATACCGGTATTTCGGTATACCGTGATAAAATCATCGGCGATTTTATCATATCGGACTTACTTAAAAATATCGAAAAACCGGTTTATCGTGACTTAAAAAAATTATCGCGATTATGATAATTATCATGTCCCAATATTGATGATAATACATCGTCGCTTGGACTAGTAAGCGAGGAAAATGTGTTTGGCAAGGTCAAGGTTGGAGAGTATTTACCCCAGTCGCAACTGTCACTGTTCTGATTTTCAGACAAGTAGATTTTAGAACCCTGCTAGTTCTGGTTACATATTATCGTTATATTAAAACTTAATATTCTGCTTCGACTAACTAGTATGTCATTCTATTGATAGAATTAAATTCGTCTACAAGTATAAAATATAGCATATTAAGTACCGGCGGGTCAAGGGTAAATATCCATCATGGCGTCTAGCAACAGTAAAAAAGTGACAACAAGCGACGATTTGCTGCCTAAAAAAAATTCCTCCAGTCCCGTTTGGACTTTCTTTGGGTTTAAGCCAAACGACGTAGACCAGGCCACAATATTCTGCAAAGTTTGCACAAATCCAGTAATGGCTAAAGGTGGCAACACAACCAACCTATATCATCATTTGCGAACACGACACCCAAGTCAGTACAAAAGCTTTTATTTATACGGGATTGCCAGGGTTGATATTAATAAAATAATAAACAGGGTACGAAATAACACGCGAACGGTCGTTCAGGTTACGCATCGGTTACCATGACCTGGAAACACGCGAATGGACTTCCGTTCTCGACCACCGAGCTATAATTTATAAACTAAAGGTTTCAGTTAAAATATTCCCTCCACTACTACATTAAAACATTTTACAATTATAAATAAATGTCTGAAAGATCGTTAAGTTCGCACCTGTCATTTTGGCGGTAGCAAATCAACTCGCGGACCCATCATACCTGGCAACGACATACTCATTTGCCTCTTTAGCGAACGAAAGCGCCAGATCAATCAACTGATTTCTATTGTTTTTATTTCTTAAATTAATGGTGATTGAGTAATAAAAATAAAACACCCAATGAAAAGGAATGTTATATTCGCAAATTATCAAATAAAAAACATACTTTTCAACAATGGATCTTCCGGTATTTACGTAATAGGTCAGAGGTGAAAATTCACACCGTGTCAATGACTTTGGCATTATTCCAATATTTTCACGTTGTCACTCACGGCTAATAATTTTATGACATGGAAAGTGAAATGGAATAAGATTTTTTATGATTTACTGCCAGGCATATCGTAGAACATGACAATGTCGAAGAAATCAACTATTTGTTATTTTTGGGGGACGTTATGAATGATGCGAAGCAGCCGAGATCAAGCGTGTCGGCCGCCATATCTTGGATACGTTTCCAGACAGACGATACCACAAAACTTATGGATAATAATTCTAGAGTTTGGAAAGCTAAATTGAATCAAAACTTTTAGGATTTAATACAAGCTACATAGAGGAATATTACATTGCAACTATATATTTTTATTTTCGATGCTATGAAGCAAAGAAGACGACAATTCCCACCATATATCCAACAAAGGCAGAAATGTCACATAGCGATGAAGTGACAGTCATTTGGGGCGATATTTCTTTCTAAAAGTTATATATTTATATTTACTTTGAACACTGTTCTTTTTTTTAAAATAAAATCTTAGGAGATACATGTTCACGTTTATTATGACAGAGAAAAGTCATAATTTTAGTGGAACTGACTTTTCAATATTATTTATAGTAATATACCGGTAATTGTTAGTTTGTACAATTGAATTTTATATCATTGGAAAGAACACAATCTGTACATTTTTGTATAAAAAATTTTTTTATTTAGTTATTTGCAATTTTGTAGAGAGTTTTAGTATTAACAATAATCCACTAATTCGCTTAGGGATATGGGCCCTGCTGATTTAATAAGCTTAGGGGTAGCTGGCTTATCTTTTAATTGGCCCCAAATCCCCCTAGGCTAATTCGAGGGCGGCTCTAAACAAATATGGCATCGTAACCTATAGGTTACCAGTTCAAATTTGATGCAGATTAGCGTAACCTATTTTGAGGTTACCATATAAGAGGCTTATTTCATACCCTGATAAATACAACATACCTTTTTCTTTATTAGTATTTGATACAGTTTGCACACAAGACAGGGGTCAAGACCGTCACAAGAATTCAAAATTAGACTTCTATAGACACACGTAAAAATTATCACGATAATATCGTTTATCGTGATATTAGATAAATTATTATCACGATATTTATTTTTCATTATCGCCCAAGCCTATCGTCAACAATCATGTGCCCAAACCATATAAATGAAATGAAATGGGGTTTAATGTCCTACTGTTCTGCTTCTACTGGGCTAATGAAGATGGGCATACGCCATACAGTGTGCTATGAGGGAAATTTTGCCCAGATAGCAGCAAAATTGGCCTCCTCATATACATGTATCGAATTTCAGCTGTCAAGGGATCTTAAAAACGTGCACGCCAATGTGTACACAAGACCTTGGTTTTTCATCTCATCCGAATGACTATACATTGTCTCTTGCCAGGCCCTCGGTCCTGCACCACTGACAAGGAGGAACCACGCCGGAAAATCCTGATGCACTTTCTCTGCTAATACTGGGGACGAACACGGGACCTTCAGGTTAGCGAGCCAATGTTTTTCCCACTGAGCCACCGTGGCTCCCTCTAACCATTGAACGAGTGTGTGACAGGATGTGGGAAAGGTGTAGTACTGTATAATCAATCGAAAACACTATTGTTGTTACCTGGTTGTCATGACAATGACTTCTGTTTGATTCGACCATACCATTCTCCAAAAATCAACAAATGTTTTAGGTAGTGGACCTGTAAAATATATTCACACAATACTTTATTGATGATAAGAGCAGACGAAATGTGTTCATGGGTGACAAATCAAATGAAACGAAATGAAATTTAACGTCCTACTTTTCTGCACCGTCTGGGTTAACGAAGAAGTACTGTATACCCTATGCAGCATGATATGGGGAAAATTTGCTATCCGACGGAGCGTGTTCATGGGAGACACAAATGATATGAAACAGAGTTTAACATCCTATGTTCTGCTCCAACTGCCATGCTGTGTGCCCGGACAGCGGCACTACAGCCTACTCTTATAATGAAGTCGGGCATACGCTTTGCCATATGATAAGGGGAAATAGACCACAGTTACAGGAAGTAGTTCTATAAAAAATTGGAATAAATCCAGAAATGTGACATAGTCTCAATTATCAAGAACACAACTGTGATAAATGTTATTGACAATCATAAAATGGTACTGGATAATCAAACATAATGAGATAAATGTAATGTCTTGAAATGTCTTGAAATGCCTTGGACAAAAAAACAAAACAAAAAAAATAACTCCTTCATACATCAGATTTTCAATAAGAATTGCGAACCAGAATATTTTTTGTAACAGCCTGGCCCCGGTTTCACAAAGCAATCTACAACTTAAGTTAAGAATTTACTCAAATTGGTTCACCTTAATTGAACTAAAATATAGCTCTTTAAACTTTTGTTGATTTAATGTATCAAATACATCAATAAGAAACTATGTGAAAAAGTTTGTGTTTCTGGGTCAAAGATATTTCTCATAAAATATGATTGAAAGTTGAGTAAATTCTTTCATGTGTCTAAAGATACATTATGGGAGATTTGATAATGAGTTGGCAGTTCTCACTATAATAGTTAGAAACTAGATAATGTAAAGGCAATTTGCTGAAAATTTCATTCAAATTGATCAACTATCAACCGAGAACTAAGCGATTGAAATTTCCGGTTAGCCTTGATCATCATTAATAAAGTCAGTACGATAAACAGCATAGTCTTGATTATCCATTTAATCTTTATATCATTGAAGGAAAGTTATGCAGTAAATCGGCTCATAATCCACTAAAGATCGCAGGCTAGCGATGCCATCTAGAGTTGATTATGGTCTGGATAGGTTAATTAATGTCTAATCAATAATTTAGATAACATTTCAGGCCTAAAGAAAGACCTGCAATAGTCAGATTTAGCTCTTGCATAATGTATGTTTAAGTTTGAGAATGCTTTGTGAAGTCGGGGTCTGATAATATTTATTTTGAGTATGTTTTACCTTGTGTACAGATATAAGCATTTTTCTGCATATAACCATCAACATAGTTAGCATTAATATAATCAGAGTTGGGATCTCCGTCGGTTAAAGGGAGACAAACACGACTATGATCTAATGCCAGGACATCTGTGTAACGATTCTTTGGTAAATTATGACGTGCTCTGAATTAAAGAAAAAAAAATTAAGACTGTAGAATAAAAACGAGAGAGAGAGAGAGATCATCTCCTGATTAAGGGTATATTTTTCATTTTAAAAATTTGATAGCCACACGCCGTTAAGAAAAGGTGATCCTACATATGATTCAGGTAACATGCCCTACATGTAGGTAATATGCCAAATTCTCCATCCCCTACAAGTAGATAAAACAGCAAACCCTTAAGTGACACAGTAAACCCCATGGTAAGATGGGTAACATGACAGTAATCTCCTAGGTAACACGCGATGTTAATCTCCTAGGTAACATGGCAAACTTTAAGGTAACACATCAAACTCTAGTTTACACGACGGCAAACTCTAAGGTAACACAGCGAACCCTTAAGTAACACGGTGAACTCCCCATTTCCTCGATAAGTCAAACTTCCCACCCTCATGATAACAAACTGAACCCCCCAATCCCCAATCATAACTCCACGATAATAACACGCCCAACTTCCCACCCTTATGATAACAAACTGAACCCCCCAATCCCCAATATAACAAGCGGAATTTCGTATTTTATACCAAGAAATTAGCTTACTTTGACTCATTAAAGGTTCCTTTTGGTGGTTCCATTTTAATATGGGCGTACTCGGCATATAAACCTCGTTTCTTCAGTTGTTTGACATGATCAACCAGTTGAGTTAACGTCAGACCTTGATCATCTGGCATGTGAATAGAATTATCCAAAATATTTGATCCTGACGACATCGGACGTTTCTTCTCGGCTGTTGGTGATATTTCGGAATTTCTCTTAAATCTATCGGAATCTGTTCCCGATGTTCGTCTTCGTTTACCGCCCGTTAAACTTGTTCCGTCCTTTTCGACAGTCACTTCCTTTTCCGAATCTGTTCCCTCGATCTCGTGCTCTTTCTCACGATCCTCGTGGTTGTGTTTTTCATTGATTGTTTCTTTTGATGCTTCAGAATTTGTGTCTATATCACTGATACGTAGTTCTGCGTCGCTCGACACGCTCCTAGACACGGAGCCTTGAGAGTCACATTCATCCAGAGAATCACGTCCCCGTTTACGCGTGATAAAGTATGAATCCATATTAGGACACTGATGTATTGCGACCTCCTTACAGAGTTCTAACCACTCCTTATGTCCGGGGGTCGGGTGTCGAATATTACTGTTAAAATATGGCGTTAAACACTCTTTTGGTAAAAACTTTGATAATTGCGTTAAATCGACGGTAAAAACCTAAAATAATAAATAAAAAAACAAGTTAAATTTGACCTACATAAAAAAGTGCTATAACTTGACATCAAATATTGTTGCTATGGCAACATACATCCTAGTCCTTTAGTTTTAGCAGCATCTGTACTAGACGTAGAATGAAATAAAACAGGGTTCAACGTCCTACTGTCCTGCTCTGACTGGTCTAATGAAGACAGGCATACGCCATACAGTGTGCTACAAGGGAAATTTTGCCTGGGCAGCGGCACTATGGCCTACTCTTATATATCAAATTTCAATTGCGAAGTGATCTGTTACGTGCACGCCAATGTATACACAGGACCTCAGTTTTTTGTACTATCCGAACGACTAGACAGCTGTCCTTGTCAAGCTCTCCGTCCTGCTGCATAGATGTACAATAAAGGCAATCTAATTTAGATCTTCAGGGTCAGCCTTATTATATTTTTAGTTTTATATCAAGACACAATTTTATGGAATACATGTTACTTTACAAGTTTATTTCTGACAATGTTTTCGAAGAGGGTCATCTTTTCTTTATCAATATTTGAATTACATGTATATCTTTGGGGTCAGATTAATTCTTGTACTGTGATAAACTATTAATTATACCACATGACACAATTATATGGAATACAAGTCAATTAGCAGTTTATTTCTGGCCAAGTTTCAACGATGGTTGTCTCGTCTTTATGACGTAAAGAATCAAACTCTTAGTTGATGAATTTCAAGATAAAACTGTAGGCCTACTTACTCTTTCACGTAATTTTTCTTTGACAAACATACGAAGTATTTTAAAAGGAGCTTTAAACCACAGCGGTGCCGTGACAATTAACACTTTTTTTAATTTTGCTGGGTAGGCACCCTACAGATAAACATAAAAAATACATTATTATAAACACAAAACTTACGAGATTTTTACCTGCTAGACTCAATCAGATTAAAATACAGATCTATATTTCGTTTCGTGTTTTTTATACATTCGATGGCCTACATTACATGAAGATCTGACAAGTTATAGCCATAGGTCACGTCAGGGGTCAAAAGACTGACTTATGACCCTATGACGTCAAACATTTAAATAACCAATCAGCATTGATGTTACTAGTGGATTACCCACAGTTCCGTGCAAAACACGCGTAAAGCTCGCCGTAACAGACCGTTTCATTGGCTTATCCCTGACACCATTGAGAACACGAGTTAAATAACAACTCTTCCAGATCCTAGTGTAGTAAAGACAAGTAAAACGAAATTTTGAACTATAAAAAACGAAACGAAATAGGATCTGTGTTATAACCAGATTGTGAAAGACTAGAAATTTATTGTTATCTGGAATATTACCCGAGAGGCATTTGTCAAGCAAATAAACGCCTTAGAATAATAAACAGGTCATTGATTGATACACACCTCTCGGGTGGGGAGGGGGGAAATTACCGGTCAACATTCAACTAAACCATAGTACCAACTACACTATTTATTGAGTTAATAAATGATTTTTAACGATAAACAAATGATAAATTGAAAGTAAACCATATGTATTCTTTCCCAGCTTAAAAACACCGGGCCCCGAGTTCACAAAACATTCTCAGACTTAAGTTAAGAATTTACTCAAAATTGTTCTTCTTATTTTAACTAAAATATAGCCCTTTTATACAACTTGTGTTGTTTTAATGTATCAAATACATCAAATACATCAATAAGAAACTATGTCCAAATTTTAGTGTTTCTGGATCAAAGAAATTTTCATAAACAGTGATTGAAAGTTGAGTAAATTCTTAACTTAAGTCTGAGAATGTTTTGTGAACTTGGGGCCAGATTTACAGTGGCTATGGCCTATATTCATATATCAAATTCCAACTGTCAATGTGTACACAGGACCTCGTTTTTGGTTCCATCCGAACAACTAAGTATCCTTATCACCTGACCACCTACTTGTAATTAGTGCCCCACCCCTGCCTGCCCACCTTCCCCATTCCGAACCACCTACATGATTTTAATATATTTCTGCCAAATAAGTGGGAGAGAGAGAGAAAAATGGAGTTTAACATCCACTGGACACAAACTACGTCATTTCGGGACTAACATATGGTTTAATTTTATTTCAATAATTCGCTTGCGCGTAGGGGTCTTTAGCAGTGGGAGGAAACCGGAGGACCTGGAGAAAATCGACGAGGTTGGACAGGCGACCCAACTATTTGTCATGTACAACCGGGGAATCGAAAACCTCCCCAGTTGACTTAATGACAGACCTTATGATACAACATGCACACGCGAACCATTCGGCCATTCAACCCCCCTATATTGAAAAAAAAAGACCTGATTATATATTGGGAGATATAGTGGAAAGTGGAATCATTATTTGGCTTATTATCACTCATCATGTTACAGTAGTAAGGTCGCGGGTTTCCTATGGGTCCTCTGCCATCCACCCCCCCCCCCTGCCAAATAAGTAAAAACTTACCTTAAGCATATTAAGAATTTTGCTGCTGAGTTCATAATCAAAATTAGCATATTTAGAATCTGTCATATCATAAACAAAGACTAATCCATTCTTCTGGGTGTCCTCACTATAACAAAAACATTAATAAACAAGTGGCTGTCATGCAAGATATGCCCACATTTTGCAAGAGATGGACAGAGAACAAGCTAAAAACGTGATTTCAGACAATCAGGGACCATAATCCAGGAAGTTACGGCACGAATTTCGAAAGGAACTGAGATGTTTGGGATATAAACATATATTTTAAGTTGCATACAAATTTTGACCTCTAGAGGATCCACAACCGTGCTATTATAAACTTTACATTATTTTCTTACAAGGAGCTAGCGGTCATTTTTTCAAGAATTTTTGGTCCGATTTCCACAAAATTGGAACTCAACTGTTATTGGGTGTAAGGATGCTATATTTGAACGTTTTTTTAAATTGGATAATAACTGTGACCTCTTACTATTAGAGTAGAGTTTTAACCCTTCGTACTGCAGAATGTTCTCGTTGTTGGGTTTTGCTCCTGTTTGCTCACTACACTTTTTTCGTACAATAAGGGATCATAATCCAGACGGTTACAGTATAATATGCAAACATATCAAAAGGAACTTCGATCAATGGGTTGTAAACATACATTTCAAGTTTCATCAAAATTCAATAAAAATTGTGACATCTAAAGTGTTCACAAGGCAAAAACGTCATTTCCTGTACAATCAAGGACCATAACCCATGAAGCTACGGTCCCATATATGCCAATATTGAAAGGAACCGAGATCTTTGGGAGATAAACTCATATTTTGAGTTTCGGCAAAAACGGATTACAATTATTGTGACCTGTAGAGTGTCCACTCACAAATTGTGAACGGACGGGCCCTTGATGGTTGGAATTTGAAATAACAGTCGGCCGTTAGTTTACCAGCACGTTACTCGATGAACCACCATGACTCAGTGATCTAGTGGAATTTTAATAAGAATATACATATGTACATATTCATGCTGAAGACGGTACAAAGTCTACGTATCATAAAATAGGCTGTAAATAGACAAGTTTTTAATTCAGTTTTGGCAGTTTCTAGACTGGATGTTAAGGGATAAGGAAGCCATGGTGGCTAAATGGATAAGACGCTGGCTCGCTAGCCTGGAGGTCGCATGTTTGATCCATGCATTTGCCTAGAAAGTTTATCGGGATTTTCCGGTGTGGTTTCCCTTAGCAGATGGAATTCGATATAAGAGTAGGCCATAGTGCCGCTGCCCGGGCAAAATTTCCTTTATAGCACACTGTATGACGTATGCCCGTCTTCATTATCCTAGTCGGAGTTGAACAGTAGGACGTTAAACCCCATTTCATTTCATTTCATTTATTAAGGAGTAAATGATATCAACATGACAAGCAGTACGGTGAATTGAACGACCTGAATTCTGTGAGGTGAGTAGTATTCTTACCTTTCTAATGCAGCATCTAACTGAAAAACCAAACCTTTTAACGTAATCTGATGTGTGGTGGTGGATGGGTAATGTAATCGGGCAGTGAATAATGCCACTGCAGCACCAGAATGATCCCGGTTCGGCTGAAATAGATATATATTCATTTCATTCAAATAATACTTTAAAAGGGAAATTTGGAGGTCGAATGGTTAGCGTGTGTGCTGTATCATAAGGTCTGTCGTTGAGTCAACTGGTGTGGTTTCAATTCCACGGCTGTACATGTACGTGACAAGGAGTAGGGTCATCTGTCTTACCTTGTGGGTTTTCTCCAGGTCCTCCGGTTTCCCCCCACTGCTAAAGACCCCTATGCGCAAGTGATTTATTGAAATAAAATTGAACCATGTTAGTCCTGAAATGACCTAGTTTGTGTGTGTCTCTCTCTCTCCATAAATGAATCAGGATCTATGTTTTAATCAGACTGTCATATGATGTGTTCCGTTACATTGTACAAATACTTCCTGTAGATTATTACTTCCTGATGATTACTTCCTCATTGATTTCTAAACTAAGGGATCCGTGTCCGTATTATCTCAAGGATGTACTTCTTTCTTAGATTTTCATGTCAATGTATTCTGTTGGAGTCCGTATTATCTCACAAACTTTTCATGTTAATGTCCTCTACATGGGTAGATAACTCTATTGCTTAACTTACCAGTACTGTAAATTTCTCTGTGTATAATTCTGTCTGTAGATCTTTATCCGATGGATCGATATAAACTAAATCTTCACGATCACGTATATTCTGATAAAAAAAAAAACATTATTTATATTTTACAATTATTACTTTGTATTGCAGAGAGAGAAATGGGATTTTAGCCTACCCGACCTGGACAGAGAGAAGAAAGACAGAGAGAGAGAGAGAGAGAGAGAGTAATGTCCACTCAACACCCACTAGTTAATTTTGGGGACTAACATATGGTTAAATTCTATTTAAATAAGTCCCTTGCGCTTAGGGATCTTTAGCAGTGGGAGGAAACTAGAGGACCCAGAAAAAACCCACGAGGTTGGACAAGCGACCCTACTCCTTGTCACGTACATGTACCTTAAAACCCCTGCCACTTGACTCACTAACAGACCTTATGGTCTAAAGTGCAAAATGAAATGAAATGAAATGAAATGAAATGGGGTTTAACGTCCTACTGTTCTGCTCCTATGCTGGGCTAATGAAGACTTGCATACGCCATACAGTGTGCTATGAGGGAAATTTTGCCTGGGCAGCGGCACTATTGCCTACTCTTATATCGAATTCCAACTGCCAAGGGATCTTTTTCGTGCATTCCAATATATACACAGGACCTCGGTTTTTCGTCTCATCCAAAGAACTAGACAGCTGTCCTTGTCAGGCCCTCCGTCCTGCATCACTGACAAGGGGGAACCACGCCGGAAAATCTGGATGAACTTTCTCAGCCAATGCAGGGATCGAACAGCTGACCTCCAGGCTAGCGAGTCAGCGTCTTACCCACTTAGCCACCGTGATCCCCCATCTAAAGTGCAAGCATTAAACCATTTTACTACGCTAGGATCTGGAAGAGTTGTTATATAACCCGCGTTCTGAATGATGCGAGGGATTAGCCAATGAAACGGTTTGTTACAGCGAGTTCTTGGCGTGTGTTGCATAGAACTGTGGGTATTCCACTAGAAACATCAACGCTGATTAGTTAATCAAAAGTCTGACGTCATATGGTCAAAAGTCGCTTGTATCACCCCTGAAGTAACCTCCCTCTACAACTGGTCAGATCTTCACATAAGTAGAAGCCATCAGAAGCATAAAAAAAACGAAATATAGATCTGTATTTTAATCAGATTGAAAAAATGACCGAGTGGCATAGTTTGAAACAAGAGCTGGAGAAGCTCAGTTCACCTTACCTCATGTGCTATAAATAAATCCTTGGCTCTTTTAAAATCAAATTTTCTGGCCATAAGAAACTTGACGGCCGTGTTGGATGATACAGCTGTCTTTCCTTGATTAGTACGCAAATAATTTATCTCTTCCAGAAATTTGTGGATGATCTGAAAATAAAATAAAAACAAAATTTAAACTGTATTCAGATAAACAGAAGAAGGTGATTTGTAAAGTCTAGGCCCGTCCCAGGTGATTGGTAAAGTCTAGGCCTGTCCCAGGTTATTGGTAACGTCTAGGCCCATCCCAGGTGAATGGTAAAGTCTAGGCCCGTCCCAGGTGATTTGTAAAGTCAAGCCTATCCCAGGTATTAATTACAAGTCGTTGCTATGGAAATTATAGTCGTATCTTTTCATAGTAGATCACAAGATTAGCCATCATGGGAGAAGCCACACTGATCAGCAGTGAATATTCGCTAAGCTGCTACAGTCACTGATAAGGATGACATCGATACGACTTAATGAGCCCCAAATATTAATTTTTTTCCTCCGACAAATTAAATTCTAAAACATTTTTTTATGTATTAGAAAAATAAATAAAGACGTTTGAAGTATTTGTAGGTAAATATTATTTCCTATTTAGTGTAAATGGGTATTAAAATGAGTAAAAAGGCACCATTCTGCCCAAACCAGTAACATCTTACGTAAACAATGCACGCGTCATTGAGCCAATGATTGACGCCGTGTGATGTGACATCACATGTTAAAGGCAGTAATCTTTTACAGTAATCCTCTGTAAAACAGATTGGGCCATTGAGCCAATGATTGGACACCGTGTGATGTGACGTCACGTGTTAAAGGCAGTAATCCTTTACAGAGATATTAGAAGACTTTCATAATCAACTGTAAAACAGATTGGGGAGAAGCTTCAGAGATATTAGAAGACTTTTGTAATCCTCTGTAAAACAAATTGGGGAGAAGCTTTATAAAATTAATAAGGTGCTCGTATGGTAAGTTGACGCCCACATCTTGTCAATAAATTGTAGATCAACATATTACTTTTCTTCTCCATCCGAGCTATTGAAGAGGGTCAAACAATTTACTTGTAAAGACAAAGAACGACTATTCAGAAAGGCCTATCAACTAATATTATAAATAAACTTGGTGCAAGCCTACAGTGAGGAATAGTCTTATTAATGTCTGCTTCCGTTGAAGTGATATCAGCAACCTATCATGACTTTTATATTAATTAGAGAAAGTAGCATCAATCAACAATTGTCTAATATCAATAATCATAGAACCAATATTCCTAAAACAAGACTTTCACACTTCTTACACAATACATAATAATAATTATTCTTACCAAAATAGGCCTACTACTAGTTCAAAATATTACAATAACTATTAAATCAATTGTAAGAGTTCCCATGGACCTCTAGCCACGTAAAGATAAACCATATAATAATCATTCTTATCAAAAAGAATGCTGGTTTAAAATATTGTAATCAGTGAATGAAATGTGAGAGTTATGGGCCTTTAGCATGTAAAGATCAAACTACTTTCAGTTTCACTTCTACTTTTATTTCTTATATCAGTATCTGAACTATTACTTATTTCTTGTCACGATCACGGGGTCAAGATGATATGTTACTGTTTATACCTACAGTGCCGGATGCATTACCTGACAAGGACAGCTGCCTAGTCATCTGGATGGGACAAAAAACCGAGGTCCCCTGTAAATACATTGGCATGCAGGTAAAAGATCCCTTAGCAGTTGGAATTCGATATAAGAGTAGGCCGTAGTGTCGCTGTCCGGGCAAAATTGGCATCGATAGCCTGCGATATTTACTGGATTAGAAACCTGTCTGCTGCTTCTGATTAAATCAAAAAATGGATAATCGAGACTATGTTTTTTATCGAGGCCGAAATTTCAATTGCTTAATTCTTGGTTCATAGTGGAACAATTTGACTGAAATTTTCAGCAACTTCCCTTTACATTATCTAGTTTTTAAATATTATAGTGAGAACTGCCAGCTCTTTATCTCATCTCCCATAATGTATCTTTAAACACATGAAATAAACCTAGATTTCAGTTATACAAATTTGTTTTACCATTTCTTGTTCTTCAAGCAATTTTGGCATCTGTTCAATATAAAAACAATCTACAGAACGATCCATCGTACAGAGAAAGCTTTTACAAACTAACGTCTTGTCTCACAAACATGTCCATACAACTTCATAGAACCACTTTCATACCGGTATTTCCTTAGAAATCTAAACCTATCCTTATCACACAATTCAGTGAATACCAAATTTCAGGAAATAGAAAGTAATTCAGTCTATATTTAACCTACTAGTATGAACTGTTTAAGATCCTGTATTGGATATAGATAGTTCTACACATTACAGCTGTTGATCATACTTATTTGATGGATATAAGGATATCAAAAATTACAATATAAAAATCATGGTGGATTCTTAGCAAACTATTAAGAGGTTTTTTTCGCAGTGTTGGCGCGATTTCTGTCGAAAAAAACATGAAACGAATAGTAATATGACAGTTGAATTTCTAAAATGAATACATGTACATGTATATTGATCAGTCCAAAAATGACCTTTGTTACTTGTACATATACACTAGATGTTAGCAGGTGCTCTGACATACAAATACGATGTTTGGATTTTCAATATCAGATGTGTGTTCACACAAGAAATCTAAATGTTAGTCAATCTGGTTAAAACACAGATCCTATTTCGTTCTGTTTCTTATAATTCCAAATTTCATTTTACTTGTCTTTACTACACTAGGATCTGGAAGAGTTGTTATATAACTTGAGTACTGCTTGATATGAGGGATTAGCTAATGAAACGGTCTGTTGCAGAGAGTTCTTGGTGTGCGATGCACGGGACCATGGGTATATGATTGGTTAATCAAATGGCTGATGTCATAGGTCAAAAGCCGATCGTATGATCCCTGACGAGACCTCCCACTACGACTGGTCTGATCTTCATGTAGTAGAGGCTCACGAAGGTATAAAAAAAAAACGAAATGAAATATTGATTTATAGTTAGCATAATGAAGAAGACAAATTCAATGTAGCGTAGATGAAAAGAGTTAAAAGTAAAAACTTAAACCAAGTATCATGATCCCAGCTAGGTCAGAATGTTGTCTTAATAAGTTCCAAATATAGCCCAAATCAGCCCCAACTGATCCCAGTTAGCTTAGAATGTTGTCTTAATCAGTCGTTGTTTTTTGTATTTCAGAGAAGTGCCAAAAAAAGCTCCCCTCAATCAACAAATAGAAAAAAATCACTTCCCTAAAAAAAAGCTCGAGATCCCAGTTTTGATAAGAAGAGTGATTTAGAAATTAAGGAGAGTAATCTGATATTAAGGAGAGTGATTAGTTATGTGAATGGGAAATGATTCTAAAAATCAATAACTGCATGTAATGGGGTTATTCCTAGTTTGATAAATGATAATGAACCCCCCATGACTTTGTAAAGGAGAGGGATTTTTAATTTTAAGGGAGGGAAAAAAAACTCCCCTTTGTCGACATTCAGGTGTGCGGCAGGCACTCAAGAGCGATCACTCGCCTTAAAAAACAATGACTGCTTAATAAGTTCCAAACATGGCTCAATTCAGTCCTAAAAGAAAAGGCTGCATCCATTTGTTAAAATATTTAAGTTCTTGTGAATAACAAGGATAAGTTGCTGTGTTATACATGTAGGCCTAATTAGTTAGAAGTGGTTCCACTACTGATGTATTTTGTCTTGCTCCAGCCACGATCGTTATAAGGCCTTCCTCAGAGCAGGTTTTATCATGATTTGATGATAAAAAAGTTACTGGCCTATAACACCCTTCATTTCCAAAACCGACCACAAACAGTACTGCACATAGCTTAACATATAACAAAGAGAGATAGAGAAATGTGGTTTAATGTCCACTCAACACAAACTAGGTCATTTCGGGACTAGCACATGGTTCAATTTTATTTCAATAATTCGCTTGCACGTAGGGGTCTTTAGCAGTGGGGGGAAACCGGAGGACCCGGAGAAAATCCACGAGGTTGGACAGGCAACCCTACTCCTTGTCACGTACAACCGGGGATTCGAAACCACGCCAGTTGACTCAATGACAGGCCTTATGATACAGCACGCACATGCTAACTATTCGGCCATCCAACCCCCCAACATATAACAAACCAATTTCCATTGAAATAAAGGTGAAACATACACGCATAATTAGAACACGCACATGATTTCACGTCACATCGAAAATACAGAAAAACTGTTCAGTACCGGTAATATATGATTAAGATTTCAGTGTTCCACTCTTCACTATTTGTAACATAATTACATTTATCCCTGCAAACTGTGATGATATGTGTTGAAAATTTTGTAATTGAACCTTATTTTACTTGCGCATGTATTAATTGTAGCCACAGACAATACAGGCCGCAGGGCAGGTACAATATTGGGCATTGTTCGCTGATCTGACTACTTTTAAGTTTTATAGATACAGTTAGAGAGGACATTCAACTGACTGGGTGAGTCCATTACCTTAAAGGACCTAAGTCCGTAACTCAAAATCCTCCAAAATCTTCGACATCGAAAACACGATTTATTGGTCAATTTAAATCAACATTGATGATGTAAACTTACCGGGAAAAGATGAGCTTCTGATATCTGATATTTAAGATAAAATAATTTTTTTAACATTGGTACACGAATCGTGTACCATAATGCACTTCAGCCCCAGTTGTATTGAGAGACTCGAGGGACGAGGCTAGACACATTGCACCAAATCAAATGGAGTTATGTAGACTAGAATAACTAGACGCTAGAAATTTGCACTCGATTGAGATTGCTGACTTATTTCGCCGAACATTACTGATTTGAAATTGGAGTAAAAACGGAAACCATTAAATGTAAATCAGTTTATATACATTCGTATTACAGTATTATATGCGTTGCGACCAACTTTTGTGAATTTCTAGGTCCCAAATATTAGCGATTTAGCTCTTTTAATAACTTCCTAATCAATATTTCCTCGCATATTCGTGGGTACTCTAACCTCGCATATTCGTGGGTACTCTAACCTCGCATATTCGTGGGTGCTCTAACCATAAAAGAGAAGAAGAAAAACAGAAATGAATAGATGAATGTAAAAAGTAGTCAGATCAACCAACAGTGCCCAATATTGCAGCAACATGTAGTAATTAGTGAAACTGAGCTATTAGTAAGAGGAGATGAATATCTAATCATAGTCGTTTAATAAAGCCCTTGGGCTATGACCCACTGAAGTGAAACTTATAGATAACTTATATTTAGTAAGATTAAGAATTCAGTAATTTTGTTCCTGGATCTAGTATTCATTAGTTTATCATTAAATTACTGGGGTCCTTAATTAACCAAATATTATTTACTCCCTTAACAAATATTAGAACTATATATATCCATGTAAACGGTTTAACAATTCCCCAGGATTAGGCCTTACCTCAACAGACGGGCCTATACCGGTAACTATCGATTCCAGGGAGGAAATAATAATAATGTGATTCTAGTTTCTGCGATGATTCACACGCCTAGCCATTTCGGTATAAAATACTGAATACCACTCAATGATAATGATTTTACAATTACATTAAAAACAATAACTAAATCAATCCAAAGCCGATCAGAATTTTTAGAAGACATTTTATGAACTGAAGATAGGTTAAAGCGCAGTAATTTACCGTTTCCTGACCATCCTGAGAAAGAACTGCAGCCATAATTCTAGACGGGAAACCAATGTCGTAAATGTGCACATTTCCGGGGAGAATTGCACAGGAATGATAAAAACTTAAATTTCCGATTTTTTGTGCACTCAGTCTTAAAATTGAATAATTTATCTCATCAATTTTGTCTATTAATTTAATAAATTTATTCCAAACATTGGTGTCGTAAACAATGACGTCAAATTAGATCGTGAAACGCCATATTTAGATGCGCAGATCCAAAACACAAAGAGCTATCGACAATATTCCGATTTTTTCAGTATTATCTGTGTAATTAGACACGTAGAAATCAGATTGGATTTTTAGTTTAGGAATCTGTTATGGCTCAGAGTCCAGCTGGAGGCGCAGTAAGGGCATTACAGCTGGAATTGAAGAAAATTCATGACGAACCTGTCGAGGGTTTTCGAGTAAAGCTGATCAATGAGGATAATTTGTTCGAGTGGGAAGTGGCGATTTTTGGCCCCCCTGGAACTCTGTATGAAGGGGGATATTTTAAGGTTATTTTGGTTTGATTATGTTTATTCGCTGCTATTTCTTGTAATCCACAGTTAACCCTATTGGGTTTCTTTTAGAAGAGCCCTTTGTGGCTGTTCTTTGTTGATAAAAAAAATCAGTTGTTTGTTTACATCGCGGAGAAAGAATGTTGTCACTTCCGTTTACCTCATCAACTGCCTTTTAACATTACAAAAGAACAACAGAGTTTTCAAGTTCTCTTTGTGATAATCTTTTGAAATAAATTCTCTATAATTAGACACGTCTGTGTCATTCTAGCTTATTTATTTTCAAATCTTGATCATAATTTAATTTTATTTCCAGTAAAATACAAGTCTGTAACAGAAAATTAAATCGCTTTGATGTGGGTAAATTAAGATTTGTCGACTTCATTGGATTTTATGTGTTGATTCCTTATTTGGATGGCAATTGTTTTTCATTAAATTATTAATGTTTGGCCGTTACAAGTAAATTTTTTGGCCGTTACAAGTAAATTTTTTGGCCGTTACAACCAAACTGTTTGGCCGTTATGACCAAAGTAGGGCTGTTTTGATATACATGTATGACAGACTTTGTTTCCCTCTGTCAACACAGTAAAGTAAGCCAACATTAGTACATATACATGTACATCATTAGTAGAAATGATGTCTTCTGTCTTTTCCTCCAGTTGCAGTAGTGGATGGTTCTAAGAATTTTCTTTGAGCAAGTTTTGCAATCATTTGATTACAAAATACTGGCCTATAACTTCCTTAAACTTAACTTAATTTCCAGTTGAACTTATCCCAAACTGAAGGCCAACTGCACATAGCTTAACATAGTTGACTAATTATTATGGAAATCCAACGGATAAGAGATATTTCTTTTCTATTAAAAATGTCTGCCAAACCAGAATTAGCATATAATCATACATGTACAGTAGAGTAGGATCCCGTACATGTATCATTGTTTCCTCAATATAGAGTAGGCCTGAAATGTTATCTAAATTATCAATTAGACATTGATTAACTTATCCAGACCATAATAAACTCTCGATGTCAAGGCTAGCCTTCGATGTTGGCTGGATTAGATTCCTATATGCCGCTAACGGCTATTGATAATTAAATCAATAAAAGTGGATAATCGAGACTATGCTGTTTATATTAATGATTTTAGTAATGATGACCGAGACTATGGAAAAATTTCACCCGCTTCTTTCTTGGCTCATAGTGGATCAATTTGACTGAAATTTTCAGCAAATTACCTTTACACTATCTAGTTTTTAACTATTATAGCGAGAACTGCCAGCTCTTTATCTTATCTTCCATAATGTATCTTTAAATTAAAGAACAATAATATATCATATTGAATTTAAAGGAATATAGCATAACGATATACAGATATACCATGTTAAATTAAAGATACATTATGGGAGATTCGATAATGAGTTGGCACAGTTCTCACTATAATAGTTAAAAAATAGATAATGTAAAAGCAATTTGCTGGAAATTTCCGTCAAATTGATCCACTATGAACCGGGAACAAAGCGATTGAAATTTCCACCTAGCCTCAATCATCATTACTAAAGTCAGTACGATAAACAGCATAGTCTCGATTATCCATTTAATCGTTAAATTGTGAAGAAAAGTTATGCAGTAAATCAGCTCATAATCCACTAAAGATCGCAGGCTAGCGATGCCATCTAGAGTTGTTTATAGTCCTGGATAGGTTAATTAATGTCTAATTAATAAATTAGAAAACATTTCAGGCCTAAAGAAAGACATGCAATAGACCGTTTTAGCTCTTGCATAATGTATGTTTAAGAGTTTTATAAAAGAGTTGGCCATTCTTGCTATAATAATTCAAAAATACATGATAAACACAAAAGAAAATGTTTAAAAGTTCAGTCAAATTACTTTGTTCGGAACGGAATTGTCACTGTTAGATGTTTGGACTAGAAATAGACATCAATTGTGTCTGCACCGTCTATGAGAATTGGCGATTGTTTGATTGACAGACGATAACTCCAACCACATATTCTCGATTATCAAGTAGCATGCTCAATGGCTATGTTAGCCTCACTTGGCAGGCCTTTCATCACCAGTTTCTTGTAGTGACATCAGCGACTAACGGTAAACCTTATCTTGGTCCACCATTTATTGATTTAATTTTAAATGGACGACTGTTTAAATCCAAACTTTATCCAAGCCATCCGTGGGTCTACAGAGTTAATTTTGAGCTTGTCGCGTAAATAAAGGTCTAATTAATAATTTCTATAACATCTAAAGCCAAAATATAGACTTGTAATAGGCAGCTCTTGTATAACGCATGTTTAATAATGATATATACTAAATGTTAATATGGACTTATAACCATGAGTTGAACTCAGTATGACCCCTAATGTATATATATACATGTATAGTAGTACATGTAGTGTTGAATGGATGGTTAATGCCTCACTACAGCTAAATTGATTGATCACTACGTCTACATTTCCCTATTAGTAAATGCAGGGGGACTGCACCACACATAATTTGCACAGAAAAAAATACATGGACAAGACATCATACTCAGAAACCACAAATAAACAAACAATTCAAAAAAAGTGAATGGATCTGGGGCATTCTGGGGGTTAGCCATGAGTCGGGACAGCTTGAATTTAGATACAAGTGTCTTATTTTGTGACTGACAGTGCCTGTGACAGAAGCCTTATTTCAAGGCTTGCCAGTTTGACTTTAAATCAAGCCTGGACATAAGCTTGTACCTGAAGCAGTTACTGCGAGTTTTACAACATCTGGACATTGCTAGATTACTTTACAATTCCCAGTAAACAGTAACGTCCAATCAGAGGTTGTGACATAGCGACCTCCACGGAAACCTTGACATTGAATGAACCTTGAACTTTGCAACTCGATTATCACAGGTAGACATTTTAGCTTGAAAGCACAAGACTTGGTATTCGCGATGATCGGGGAATCTGATACGCTCCCAAGCTGTGGGAATACCCAATCAAAATTAGTGCCGAAATAATCAGGGTGTTGCGTGAAGGCCTTGATAAGATGTACGTAGTTAAAGCAAGATCACACCTTCTATTGAAGACTGAACATAAGGCACTTGTTATAGACTTTGTCCAGTACAAATTATCACACAATGTATAATTTTATGTTATAATATAAATGAAGAGTCCAGGGGAAGAACGATCTAAGTCACATTTTTGTCTTTTCGCATAAAAGGCACAACAGACTTTTGGACGAGAATATTTGACGTGAACAGAAAATGTGTGGGTTTAATTACAACTTCAAAATGATGTTTAATACGAATCATAATTACCAGTACAACTGACTTCAATTTTTCAAGAAAATTAAGGTTAAATAAAGGGTACGATGGACTTGTATTTGTCTGGGAGGCCATTTCAGAAGGGCCTTGGTTCGATGTGACTTCGTTTGTTTTTACCTGAAATAGATTGTTCCACAGAAATCTTATACAATTTGGTACCAGATGGCACCATTAACTGGAGTTCGTTGAAAAAGTGACTTAGATCGTTCTTCCCCGGGGCTCTTCCAATACATTTTGTTTTGTGATGATTTTTGTCTGACAATGTTTGTTTTCGGTTACCCATGTCCAGGCTTCAATACATAAATCTATTTCAACTTCACTTGAAAAAAAATGGCTCCATAAATTGATGTTTTTGTTTTGTTATTTTTCAGGCTCACATGAAGTTTCCTAAAGATTATCCATACTGTCCTCCTAGTGTTAGGTTTATATCCAAGATGTGGCATCCTAATGTATATGATGTAAGTTGAATCTCTCTTTCAAATTTCCGATAATATGGAAAATACATTGACAGCTGGATGAGTGTCTATGACGTCATGCGACATGATTTAGCTTAAGCAAATTAATTGTCAGATTTTTCTGTAATTACAGAAATTCCGAAAGTGTTTTTTTTTAGCATTATTTGTTACTAAAAGTTGTTTATTTTTAGGTTTTTTTTTTTTAATATTTCTGAAATGCATTACACAGTGAACATAGTAAATGATAGAATTAAACTTTTACTATAGCATTTTGAAACTTAAAATATAAGTCGTACTGTAGCTGTACATGATGTTACATATGCCCGTGTACATCAACCCAGTTGATGGAGAAATATATGACATTAATTAATAATAAATTGAAAGAAATGAAATTATTATTATGATTATTGTTCGATTTATATAGCGCTTCATTACACATGAGTGTTTCTAAGCGCATTCAAAACAAAACAGTTCAACGTCCTACTGTTCTGTTCCGACTGGGCTAATGAAGACGGCATACTACAAGGGCAATTTTGTCTGGACTGCCTACTCTTATATCAAATTCCAACTGTCAAGGGGTCTTTTACATACACGCCAATGTATACACAAGACCTCTGTCTTTTGTCCCATCCGAATGACTAGACAGCATTCCTTGTCAGGCCGTCCGTCCTGCACCACTGACATTGTTTCATACAATTATTACTAATAGTATTGTTTATTTCTAATTATGGTAAGAATTTCTATTTATAATAGTATTGTTTATTTCTATTTATAATATTGTTTATTTCTATTTATAATATTGTTTATTTCTATTTATAGTGTAGTTTATTTCTATTTTAATATTGTTTATTTCTATTTATAGTGTAGTTTATTTCTATTTATAGAATTGTTTATTTCTATTTTAATATTGTTTATTTCTATTTATAGAATTGTTTATTTCTATTTATAGTGTAGTTTATTTCTATTTATAGTATTGTTTATTTCTATTTATAGTGTAGTTTATTTCTATTTATAGAATTGTTTATTTCTATTTATAGAATTGTTTATTTCTATTTATAGAATTGTTTATTTCTATTTGTAGTTTTATTTATTTCTATTTATAGTATTGTTTATTTCTATTTATAGAATGGTGAAGTTTGTATATCAATATTACATCCACCAGTTGATGATCCCCAGAGTGGTGAACTTCCGTCCGAACGCTGGAACCCAACTCAGACTGTAAGGTAGGTAATCCACACACAGACTAGACTGTAAGGTAGATACTTCCGTCCGAATGCTGGAACCCCACCTGTAAGGTAGATACTTCCATCCACACACAGACTAGACTGTTCGGTAGATACTTCTGTTTGAACGCTTGAACCCCACCCAGACTGTAAGGTACTTGTACACAGACTAGACTGTTAGGTAGGTACTTCTGTTCGAATGCTGGAACCCCACCCAGACTGTAAGATAGGTACTTCGTCCCACACACAGAATGTACGGTAGATACTTGGAGCTGATTTGGGGAAACCTGATTTAAGGAAAAATGGTTTGTACATTGTGTTCTGTTTCAACTGCAGATAATCAAATTTGTTTATATTATATCCATGTTGTATTTTAGGACTGTATTACTTAGTATCATTTCCCTGCTTAACGAACCCAATACATATTCACCAGCCAACGTAGATGCCTCAGTTATGTTTCGTAAGTGGAAGGAAAGTAAAGGAAAAGATAAAGAATATGAAAATATTATCAGGTAATTTATGTTGTTTCATCCTCGATTTTTCATGCCATCCCAACAACTAGACACCTTTTAATGGTAGACGGGGGATCACGTGGGTAAGACGCTGGCTCGCTAGCCTGGAGGTCGGGTGTTCGATCCCTGCATTGGCCAAGAAAGTTCATCCAGATTTTCCGACATGGTCAGTGGTGCAGAACGGAGGGCCTGACAAGGACAGCTGTCTAGTCCTTCGGATGAGACGGAAAACCGAGGTCCTGTGTATACATTGGAATGCACGTAAAAGATCCGATATAAGAGAAGGTGATAGTGCCGCTGCCCGGGCTAAATTTTCCTCATAGCACACTGTATGGCGCATGCCCGTCTTCATTAGCCCAGTATAGGAGCAGAACAGTAGGACGTTAAACCCCATTTCATTTCATTTCATCGTGCACCACTGGCCCCGGGGGTGGGGGGGGGATGAACCTGGAAAATGGCAAGAAGCTTTCTCAGACATCCCAATACAGGAATCTTCTGGTTAATTAGCAAGCACTATTTTCACTGAGCCACATTAGATTAACTTCATTCCAACATTATTTTATATTAATGTTTTTTTATTTTCAGGAAGCAAGTTTTTGCGACTAAAGAGGACTCGGAACGTGATGGCGTTACCGTGCCGACTACCCTGCAGGAATACTGTGTCAGTGCCAAACCGCTGAGTCAGGATAATCAGGTGGATGCAGATTTCTATGACGACGATTACGTCGACGATATGGATGAGGAGGATCCCATGTACGAAGATGACGACGATGACTCCGGGAACGAAGAATCTTGATCAACGCTCCCCATTTAAACGTTAGAAATTGTATAAATTATGCTATAAATGAATGCGCAAGGTTTCGGGTGATATAAATTCTGGCAGGAAGTGATGTTTACGTATTCTTAAAACAACTTGTTGATGTAGTAATTTCCGATCGATCGATTATGTTTTCAAGTTGTTGTGATTGTTGGGGCATTTGATGCCAAATATCTTGCATGAACAAAAGTTGTCAATTTTTATTTTTGTTCCTTTGAAAAAAAAAAAAAAATATCGTGTGCTGAGCCTGTTATGAGCACATACATGTTGAAAATGTTGATCTGAAATGAATATTAGGTGTGTGTGTGATTGGTCAATATGTTTGTGGAGAGTTAAAACAAAAATAGATTTATTATTATAAACTTAAGAAATTTAAAATTGTATGTATATCTGCCGTAATATTACTAAGAGGTAGTAATCTGATCAAATCCTCTTTCTTAATCAGAGAAATCTGTAACTTGGGTGAATGAATATAAGGCGAATTATAAGGAGAGATTTGAATGTTTAATGTAAAAAAATTAAAATTGTATGCGTATCTGCCGTAATATTACCAAGGGGCAGTAACTCTGAGTAAATCCTCTTTCTTAATAAGAAAATTCTAAACTTGGGTTAGTGAATAGGGAGAATTATAAGGAGAGATTTGAATGTATAATGTAAGAAAATTAAAATTGTGTGTGTATCTGCCGTAATATTACTAAGGGGTAGTAACTCTGAGTAAATAGTCTTAATCAGAGAAGTTTCGTAACTTGGGATAGTGAATAGGGTGAATTATAAGGAGAGATTTGAATGTATAATGTAAGAAAATTAATATTGTATTTGTATCTGCCGTAATATTACTAAGGGGCAGTAACTCTGATAAAATGCCCTTTATAAATCCGGAAAGTCTGTAAGTTGGGATAGTGAATATGAGGAGAAATTTGAATGTATAATTTTTAAAGTCACTGATATTTATTGGAGTGATTCTGAATCCCGTGTAAACTATAATATTGAGAAAGTTGCATCTCTAAATGGATATCAAAAAAAAATGGTTCATTTCCATTCAATATGATAAATTGAAAATTTCCCAACATTCAGTAGACGACATAAGGAAGTCAATGTTTCCTTAAACTGTAAAATATTTTGATGGGTCTCTTTTTAGTTTGTTTAAATCAAGACCTAGAATCAAGGCCTATAGTTTATCAACTGTTGATATTATAATTTGTTTTCAAATATTAAAAAATCAGTTTTAGAACAGTTTATTTTAACATGGACAATTTAATATGGTTTCGAAAAATTGAAATGACAGGGCTTTAATAAGATAATTTTGAAATAAAAATTTAGGGGATGTAGAAATATGTGATTTAAAATGATTTGGCATTTTATTTAGAACTATATACTAGAATTCAATTTACAGCAATTGCATTTCTAAACACAGTTCATCTTGTAAAATATCATCTTTTCATGACAGTCAACTGCCATGTTCAATTCGGTTTGATTTATTTATTAAATTGAAAAAAGGTGTATGAAATTCCTGTAGCTCATGCATGTACTTGAAGAATATGACCTTTTCATTGGTTTAGCATTAAAATTTCAAATATTACCCAATCAAAAGGCTAGATTAAAATATTTATGTGTTTTTGTGAATAAGGCCATTGGAGTTTGAAATTTAAATTATTTGTTATTTTGTACATTGTGTGACATTGAATTGAAGCAATTTTTATATTTAAAAACCTGTGTTTTTTTAATGTGCTTATTTATTAACTATTTAAAACAAAATTTAGATTAAAATAATACAGGAGCCTAATAGTTAACGTGTTTATTCACATGTTTTAAGAATAATCTGTCTTCATAAACCCGCTAGGTGTAGTAGGACAAACTCCTATTTCATTCATTCATTCATTTATCAATAGTTGATTGAATTTGAATAATTTTTTGAATAGTTGATTTTTATTCAACTTACTAGAATGTTTGAATCTAGTGTATTTTCCATTATGAGCATTTGTTGATTTCATTAATTTAATATTAAATGGTTTCCATGGTATTTAATAATTGAACTGGAATATACAGATCACAATTCTATGGAATACAATTACTGCTTATTAATGATAAAATGTAACGATATCTAATTTACACGTAAAATGATACTTGGTTAATGATGACTAACCAGAGACACCCTTCTAATTACCGTGAAGTTCGATCCCTGCATTGGCTGAGAATGTTTATCAAGATTTTCTGGTGTGGTTTCACCCTGTCAGTGGTGCAAGACAGAGAACTTGACAAGGACAGCTGTCTAGTCGTGCGGATGGGACAAAAAACCAAGGTCCCATGTATACATTGGAATGCACGTAAAAGATCCCTTGGCAGTTGGAATTCGATTTAAGAGTAAGCCATACTGCCACTGCCCGGGTAAAATTTCCTTTCTAGCACACTGTATGGTGTATGCCAGTCGTCATTAACCCAGTCGGAGTAGGACGTTGGACCCCCATTTCATTTCATTTTTAATTACCCAGAAGGAAACCTAACTTAATTAAAGTAATATAATATGAAAAGAATCAAATTTCCTTTATAGCAGACTGTATGGCATATGCCAGTCGTCATTAACCCAGTCGGAGTAGGACGTTGGACCCCCATTTCATTTCATTTTTAATTACGTGGAAGGAAACGTAACTTAATTAAAGTAATATAATATGAAAAGGATCAACCGAGGATTGGTTTTTTTCATCATTACTTGATAATGACTAGAGAAGCCAAGTTGTAACGTCGCTCATTAACAAACAGTAAATGTATATCATAGAATTGTGCCTTGAATTAATGTCAGGAACAAAAAGCTGATCAAATTGTATTCCATAGAAATGTGACCTGAACTAATATTAGTCGGGAACAAGTAGCTGATCAAATTCTGTGTAAATTTAATTGACATTTATTAAGAATTACCTTGAAATCAGGTTGTAGATGAGGACTGGAATCATCACTAGAATTTTGAAAGACTCGGTCAATGAAAGACTAGGATCAATGAATGACTCATTCAATGAAAGACTCGGTCAATGAAAGCCTCAGCCAATGAAAGACTCGGTCAGTGAAAGTTTCGGTCAATGAATGACTCAGTCAAAGAAAGTCTCGTTCAATGAATGACTCAGTCAATGAAAGACTCGTTCAATGAATGACTCAGTCAATGAAAGACTCGATCAATGAAAGCTTCGGTCAATGGTCAATGAAAGACTCGGTCAATGAAAGACTCGGTCAATGAATGGGTTTCAATATGAAGTCATATCTTTAAATTGGTCTCAGGTTTCTTTATAATCTGATTTAAATGCAATGCAGAAGATTAATAATCTACCGTAGTTATTTCACTTGTCTTCTTAATTAGATGTTAATTTAATTTGATTAATTTTTAATGTTTATTAGGCCTGTTTTCCATGTTCGCATTTTTACGGCATTTCCACACTCTTAACAGTGTAAAACATTCGATATTGTCAGAAAAATACACTATCGGGATCAGCGTCGTAAACTGATTGTGCATTTTTGATCAGGCAATATTAATTTTCCGATGCAAAATCATTTATTACTTAGAAATTTGTTTTACAAATCATGGACATTGTAGATAATTCCTTTAAATACATTTGTATGAATAATTCCCATCAATGGATACTACTAGTCCCCTTCTTTTCCTACTCATTTTATAATTGTTTGATGTTGGGGTCGGAATATATGTAGTCTACCTCCAGATGTTTCTTGATTTCATGGAATTGTATATTGGTTGTTGTTTTTTTGTCGGAATCATATTTTTTTTTTTTTTATCTTATTGCTCTCACATCATGGGTGCTGTTTCGACCGTAAATATGTCGGACATGTCCCACACGAATTGGTTAACGTCAGATCGGGATATTGCCAAGTCAGACAATAAGATACTTGTTGGGTGAATTGTATTCAAAATTTAAAAACAATATGCAATTTGTGAAGACAGAAATAGTAAATATCTTTTTCTTAAATGTGTAGGAGCCGCGGTAGCTCAGTCACTAGCCAGGAAACCTGTCCAACCTCGTGGGTGTTCTCAGGGTCATCTTGTTTCCAATGATTTATTGAAATAAAATTAAACCATATGTTAAGTCTTGAAATGACCTACTTTGTGTCGAGTGGACGTTAAACCCCATTTCTCTCTCCCTCTCTCTCGTTAGCCAAGAGGTCCCAGGTCCAATCCTGGTATTGTCACTGATGTAAGATGGGGAGGCCTGGCAAGGCACAGCGGTTTGTCATTCGGAGAGGTTAAAATGCTTGAAGTTCTGTGTACACAATGACATTATGTAAAAGAACTGTTGGAATTTAAAATAAGAATAGGCCGTATCAATATCTCCCCCATACATCTCTACATGGTGTTGATTAGCCAGAATGGTGTAGAAAAGTAGGCCTTTAAACCACGATTTCATCAATTGATCGTATCCAGTGTGCAAGAGATAGCTTCTGTATAACTAACGAGTAACTAGGCAACCAAATCAAATGTTGTAATTTACAAGGAGTAGGTTTGCCTGCCTGGTTAGTTTTGTGTTTTCAGCTTGTTTTCACTGCTCAACAACATATTGTTGAAACAGATATATATCATATGTTAGTCCCAGAATGACCTCATTTATGTTGACTTGTCATTAAACCCTGATTTATATCTGGTTCTTCATCGGATGATTTGTTGTTCACAAGGTTTTCTCTCAACCAGGGTTCTTAATCCATTTTGAAACGAACCGGCCAGAATTGGGTCAAATGAGGTTCCTATAGGAATTGGGTTTTAAAATTTTAAGCTTCCATTCCCTTTATTATAACCAGACTTCAATAAAAATAATTCTTGGTAATTTGTTATGAGAAATATTGTATTCTACTACATGTAAATACCACAAAAATAACGACAACAGCTCTAGGTACACCGTTCGGAATATTTTCCATATTTAATTCATGTATAGGCTTGAGACTCTCAACATTAATCCACAATCTAGATTTTTAACAAAAAAGAGTAAAAAACACGATTTGAATCTGTGTTATATTTGGAAGATGAACGATCATGTTCGTGAATGAACGGGAGGATCTGTTCCCGAGCCACAATGAGAAGAGGACTAACAACATATGATATATTTCTATTATTACACATGCGTTTCTATGGAGACATGTAATGCCATACACATGTGTTTTCACCTACGTCGTCCAAGTTTTTGTCTATACTGAACGACTGTTTTCAGAGGGTAGAATCTTGCCCGGGCGGAACCTTTTAGCCTACTCGTCTCCATGTTTCAACTCTGTACATGGGAACTCATTTCTCGTTCATTCCGAAGGACTATTCCCACTATGAGAGGAACATCTGGGTTATTCTATATATGACAAAGAATAATTTATCGTTGTCGTGTGGGATAAATCAAGGGGAGATAACTTTATTTATGACTGTATGATATTTATATGTGTAATATATGATGAGTAAATCAATTTGTAAATTATTAAATTTATTGTATTTTTGATTTTCTTCCTTTTTGATTTAAGGAAATGAAATGGAGTTTAACGTCTACTCTTCTGCTCCAACTGGGCTAGGGGGGCTGGATGACCGAATGGTTAGCATTAGCGCGCAGTATCATAAGGCCTGTCTTTGAGTCAAGTGGCGTGGTTTCGAATCCATGGCTGTATGTGACAAGGAGTAGGGTTGCCTGTCCAATCTCGTTGGTTTTCTCTGGGTCCTCCGGTTTCCTCCCTATGTGCAAGAGAATTATTGAAATAAAATAAAACCATATGTTAGTCCCGAAATGACTTAGTCTGTGTCGAGTGGACGTTAAACCCCATTTGTCTCTCTCTCTCTCCAACTGGGCTAATGAAGAAGTGGATACAGCAGCGCTACAGCCTACTCTTATATCGAATTCCAACTGCCAGGGGATCTTTTACGTGCACGCCAATGTGTACACAGGGCCTCAGTTTTTCATACTGTTCAAATGACTAGACAGGAGGACACCATGATGATCTTTCTCCGACAATACTTGGAGTAATCCTGTTTTGATCCATTGGGAGGAGGGTTTGTTAGGTGGTCGAGTGATCCTACACTTGTTTACTCCCGGAGGGGGGATGGCTGAATGGTTAGCACGTGCGTGCTGTATCATAAAGTCTGTCATTGAGTCAACTGGCGTGGTTTTGATTCCCTGGCTGTATGTGACAAGAAGTAGGGTCACCTGTCTAACCTTGTGGGTTTTCTACCGGTCCTCCGGTTTCCTCTAATTGAATTGAACCATATGTTAGTCCCGATATGACCTGGTTTGTGTCGAATGGACGTTAAACCCTATCTCTCTCTCTCTCTGTTTCCGCCCACTGCTAAAGACTCCTGGGGGGTCGGATGGCCGAATGGTTAGCGCATGCGCATTGCATCACAAGGTCTATCATTGAGTCAGCTGGCTTTGATTCCCCGGTTGTGTCGCGTGGAGAGTGGACGTTAAACTCTCTCTCTCTTGCTAAAGACTCAGAAGCTAATTATTGAAATAATAATTGTACCATAAATCCGTCCCAAAATGACCTAGTTGAGTTGACGTTAATCTCCATTAAAGTGTTTTACGTCAACTTCCACTGACAGGCATACAGACTCGATGAAGGTTAGGGGATCAGAACCTGAAATGGCCTAAAAAAATCGGATTACAGACGGTCGTCTGTGAGAGGGGAAGGAGCAGAGATTGCCGCCAACTAGATGAAATAATAATTTTTGTTTTCACCCCAAGCCACATATGCACTCACCAGGGATTGAAACCACAACCGCGAGTCAGAGGTGACCGGCCAGCTAGAGGTCGAAGCCAGACACTCTAGACCACTAGGCCATCCCAACCATCATAGTTAACTTTTGTATATTTCTATACTCTGTGCTGAGCCAGCTGGAGATTTAGCCTTCTCATTAGAAATGGAGTTTAACATCCTACTTTTCTGCACCAACTGGGCTAATGAAGACATGCACAGTGTACAATGAGAGACATTTTGTCTGAACAGCAGAACTACAGCCTACTCTTATATCAAATTCCAATTGTCAATTTACTTATTTACTAGACTCATTCTAACCTGGTTATCTTTTTTAGGCTCTATCTAACCTGACTAAATGTTTATTATTCTCACTTTAACCATTACACAGGGAATTTCAATTGTTGGGATTTTATAAAATCTAGATTAAGTTGATTGTAAGGATGTTTTATTTACATGTATATAATATGGTGTCTCACACAATGAAACATAAATACAGAATTCACAGTTACATGATAAAATGGTAGGGTGACCCACCATAAATAAATATCTCCATATATCTCGACAATTACGCCACAATACTTATATATATGCCAAGCCTCAAATCAGTTCCACACAATTATAGTCACTAAATAAACGATCATGTTGTACTTAATAAGCTATGGCCATTAATCACGTATAAATAATAGACTGAAAACTGGTTCCAAGAGTCGTCCATGACATCCAGACACTTTTGAGTAAAAGATAGGTTACGTGCCCTTGTTTTGAAATTAGTCTCGCTTAACCAGTCTATCGACCATTCTACGTCTGATTGACAGGTCGGGATAATCAAGACTACGTTTTTACGAAACATAACAGAAAGCTAGAACAAGAAATTGAATTTAGAAATAAGCACGTTAGGTAGCTCAACAATCGTTTTAAGAAGCTTGTAAAAGTAAAATGAAACTACTGCTAGTATCATGTCCTTGCCAAACCTGAGTGTTTCAGAGATATTATTTGTACTAAACCAAAAGATGCCGCTCTTAACGGTACAGTTAATGATAAAGCGATTTAAAAAATGAAACGAACGTAATTTCTAAATCTGCTGTAATAACCAAGAAGCTTAATTTTACTGCTATTCAAAATCGTCAACAATAAATTTTTTACGGCTGTAATAGTTGATAGATTTGTAGAGAATTGCACGTGCCATGGCTATTTATAGTATCATACTGTCAGAAAGTTGGTCTCGGCACGGCGAATGTGCACGCTTCAGTGGTAGTCTCGAACTATCAGCGGTGGACTGTATTTCTGTGAGTACATGGGCCACCCTAAAAATGGATCTAATTTATATCTGATAAAACATGAATTAACATGATAGATTGGATCAAGTTTATATCGGATAAATCATGAATAAACATTTACATGATAGAATGGATCAAGTTTATATCAGATAAATCATGAATTCACATTCACATGATAGAATGGATCAAGTTTATATCCGATAAATCATGAATTCACATTTACATGATAGAATGGATCAAGTTTATATTAGATAAATCATGAATTCACATTTACATGATAGAAATGATCAAGTTTATATCAGATAAATCATGAATTCACATTCACATGATAGAATGGATCAAGTTTATATCAGATAAAACAAGTAAAGACATCTAGAATGCGATTAACTCTACACAACAAAACACACGCAAGGTTAATATGGATTTAACTATTCTATTAAAGTAGCTAAGTCTCTCTTAACTCAATATCATCCAAAGACATTGAAAATACAAATAATTTGTCAATTTAAATCAACATTAATGTTGTGATTTTACTAGGAAAAGCTGGGCTTCTGATATCCAATATTTAAGACAAAATAAACATTTTATCATTGGTACACGAATCTAGACAAGAGACTAGAAGAACGAGGCTCGACATATTCGACGAGTCATGTCAAATGGTGACGCAATATTCTTATCTGGAGAGCATGCGCAATAAATACTATCAACGTAGACTGGAATAACCAGACGCTAGAAATTGCCATTCGATTGAGACTTCTGGCGTATTTTGCCAAACATAACCGATTTTAAATTGGAGTAGTAACGGAAACAACAGAGAGAGAGAGAGAGAAATGGGGTTTAACGTCCACTCGACACAAACTAGGTCACTTCGGGACTAACATATGGTTTAATTTTATTTCAATAATTCGCTTGCACGTATGGGTCTTTAGTAGTGGGAGGAAACCGGAGGACTCGGAGAAAACCCACGAGATTGGACAGGCGACCCTACTCCTTGTCACGTACAACCGGGGATTCGAAACCGCGCCAGTTGACTCAATGCAGGCTGTATGATACAGCACGCACGTGCTAACCATTCGGCCATCCACCCCCCCCCGGAAACGACAGACTATAAATCAGTTTATATACATTCATATTACATTATTATATGTGTTGCAATGGTTATTAACAATAGAGAAGTAGTTATATACATATATATCCATATATACCTTGTGTTGGTTTTATTTTGTTGTTGTTAAAAGTATGAATTTTCATTTACATGAAAGACTTATAAAGTTTGTATTGGATCAAACAAGAATTTCATGAAAAAGATGTACAAAGATTGAATTATAACTTATATAATTATTGACATATGATCCATCAGAAGAAATAAACTAAGGAGGTTCTTCATCTGCATTTTATTACAATTTCTACAAACACAAATATGATGATTCTATCATCAATTGGTGGATCAGGACATGCATTTTAACCCAGAATTTCCACTAGAAAAACAAGTATGAGTGTACTATGGACTAGGAACTGACCATGTTGTTGGATGAAATTCATAAATCTAATTTACCAAAATCGATCCAGAATTTTTCAAAGAAGCCTAGCCTTTTTCGTACAGCGTCACCCCAAGAACAAGGTGAGTAGCAGTTAGCGAACAGTTCCTGGTCTTTAATGGATAATTCTTGGCCCAGTAATTTTATATTTTACAGTATAAATGAGTTAATATACAATGTAAGGAATTTCTCTCAAATAAAACAAACAGAATAATTCTTGGCTCAATAATCATATATTTTACATGAGTTAATTTACAATGTCGGGGAATTTCTCTCAAATAAAACAAACTACTTTTTTAAAAGAAACTAAAATACGTATCTAATTCTATCGGAAGACATTCATATCATTTCATATAAATATTAAACGACGTATACACGCAACCATTCTTCAGTTCCATATTCTTTAGAAATCTAATTAATATTGGACTTTTACATTCATTTCATTCAAACATTAAACATTGTTATCAAAGTAGTTCAGTACAGAAAATAAAGAGAGTGAAGCTATGATCTATTCATATTTTGATTTTCAACTGTCATGGACAATGTGTTGCTAATAAGATGTACCAAGGTTTTTTGTCAAATCCATCATCATTCGTTGCCAGGCCCTTCACCACTGACATGCGGAAAATTTTGAGGGACCTCCCTGATTAATTAGTCTGACATAACTCCCTTTTACGCTGAAGTAAGTGGTATTAAAATCCTGAATCACTATCACGTAAAATCCTGAATAACTTACTTAATTAAATAGAAAAAATAATTGTTTTAGATGATTAACGGTTCTTTGCATGCTTGTGTCTAAAACCAAGCCGTAGATCAAAACCACATCTACAATTTACAGCATGAAATTTTTTTTTTTAAATTTCCTATGTGAAAAAAAAATGTTCATGTTTAACTTTGTATGAAACCGATCATATCAGCTAATCAATAAAGAACAGATCTTTTCATGCTTTCAACATGGCCTCTTGGAGATTTCGTCGTGCTTGACGAACATTCATTTCTTGTCGTCTGATGTCCTCGTCGCTGATCAACATCTGTTGTATCAGGGGCTGGTTGGCGTCGATATTAACACCAGGATTTTTTAATATGGAACCTTTACTGGCCAACTGACCGGTAACAGGTAATGTACCCAAATGAAGAGCGGCTGATATACTCTGTAATATATTCTCTGTGCTCAGGTTAGGCCCAACACCTGAAAATTTAAAAATAGAATCAGCGAGTTGGCTGTTGGCTGTATAATGTCGTCAAACGCTGTCAAACCTGTCCATCAACAATTGGCTGGTTAACATGATATAATTGCTACAGTTTTTAACAGCTTTTTTTTTCCGATTCCATGTGAAGCATTGGTGTCATGACAGGACGAGATCTGACAATATTCGACAGGACAATTAGATATTGTATGACAAATACAAATGACATTCAGAGGAGAGGGAGAAGCAGAGAGAAGGAGGGGGAGAGGGATGGATAGAGAGAAGGAGGGGGAGAGGGATAGACAGACATAGAGAGAAGGAGGGGAGAGGGATAGACAGAGAGAAGGAGGGGAGAGGGATAGACAGAGATAGAGAGAAGGAGGGGGAGAGGGATAGACAGAGAGAAGGAGGGGGAGAGGGATAGACAGAGATAGAGAGAAGGAGGGGGAGAGGGATAGACAGAGATAGAGAGAAGGAGGGGGAGAGGGATAGACAGAGATAGAGAGAAGGAGGGGGAGAGGGATAGACAGAGATAGAGAGAAGGAGGGGGAGAGGGATAGACAGAGAGAAGGAGGGGGAGAGGGATAGACAGAGACAGAGATAAGGAGGGGGAGAGGGATAGACAGAGAGAAGGAGGGGAGAGGGATAGACAGAGAGAAGGAGGGGGAGAGGGATAGACAGAGAGAAGGAGGGGGAGAGGGATAGACAGAGATAGAGAGAAGGAGGGGAGAGGGATAGACAGAGATAGAGAGAAGGAGGGGGAGAGGGATAGACAGAGAGAAGGAGGGGGAGAGGGATAGACAGAGATAGAGAGAAGGAGGGGGAGAGGGATAGACAGAGAGAAGGAGGGGGAGAGGGATAGACAGAGAGAAGGAGGGGGAGAGGGATAGACAGAGATAGAGAGAAGGAGGGGGAGAGGGATAGACAGAGATAGAGAGAAGGAGGGGGAGAGGGATAGACAGAGAGAAGGAGGGGGAGAGGGATAGACAGAGAGAAGGAGGGGGAGAGGGATAGACAGAGATAGAGAGAAGGAGGGGAGAGGGATAGACAGAGAGAAGGAGGGGAGAGGGATAGACAGACAGAGACAGAGAGAAGGAGGGGGAGAGGGATAGACAGAGACAGAGAGAAGGAGGGGGAGAGGGATAGACAGAGATAGAGAGAAGGAGGGGGAGAGGGATAGACAGAGATAGAGAGAAGGAGGGGGAGAGGGATAGACAGAGAGAAGGAGGGGGAGAGGGATAGACAGAGAGAAGGAGGGGGAGAGGGATAGACAGAGATAGAGAGAAGGAGGGGAGAGGGATAGACAGAGATAGAGAGAAGGAGGGGGAGAGGGATAGACAGAGAGAAGGAGGGGGAGAGGGATAGACAGAGAGAAGGAGGGGGAGAGGGATAGACAGAGACAGAGAGAAGGAGGGGGAGAGGGATAGACAGAGATAGAGAGAAGGAGGGGGAGAGGGATAGACAGAGATAGAGAGAAGGAGGGGAGAGGGATAGACAGAGATAGAGAGAAGGGGGAGAGGGATAGACAGAGAGAAGGAGGGGGAGAGGGATAGGCAGAGATAGAGAGAAGGGGGAGAGGGATAGACAGAGAGAAGGAGGGGGAGAGGGATAGGCAGAGATAGAGAGAAGGAGGGGAGAGGGATAGACAGAGAGAAGGAGGGGGAGAGGGATAGACAGAGATACAGAGAAGGAGGGGAGAGGGATAGACAGAGATACAGAGAAGGAGGGGAGAGGGAGAAGCAGAGAGAAGGAGGGGGAGAGGGATGGATAGAGAGAAGGAGGGGGAGAGGGATAGACAGACATAGAGAGAAGGAGGGGAGAGGGATAGACAGAGAGAAGGAGGGGAGAGGGATAGACAGAGATAGAGAGAAGGAGGGGGAGAGGGATAGACAGAGAGAAGGAGGGGGAGAGGGATAGACAGAGATAGAGAGAAGGAGGGGGAGAGGGATAGACAGAGATAGAGAGAAGGAGGGGGAGAGGGATAGACAGAGATAGAGAGAAGGAGGGGGAGAGGGATAGACAGAGATAGAGAGAAGGAGGGGGAGAGGGATAGACAGAGATAGAGAGAAGGAGGGGGAGAGGGATAGACAGAGAGAAGGAGGGGGAGAGGGATAGACAGAGACAGAGATAAGGAGGGGGAGAGGGATAGACAGAGAGAAGGAGGGGAGAGGGATAGACAGAGAGAAGGAGGGGGAGAGGGATAGACAGAGAGAAGGAGGGGGAGAGGGATAGACAGAGATAGAGAGAAGGAGGGGAGAGGGATAGACAGAGATAGAGAGAAGGAGGGGGAGAGGGATAGACAGAGAGAAGGAGGGGGAGAGGGATAGACAGAGATAGAGAGAAGGAGGGGGAGAGGGATAGACAGAGAGAAGGAGGGGGAGAGGGATAGACAGAGAGAAGGAGGGGGAGAGGGATAGACAGAGATAGAGAGAAGGAGGGGGAGAGGGATAGACAGAGATAGAGAGAAGGAGGGGGAGAGGGATAGACAGAGAGAAGGAGGGGGAGAGGGATAGACAGAGAGAAGGAGGGGGAGAGGGATAGACAGAGATAGAGAGAAGGAGGGGAGAGGGATAGACAGAGAGAAGGAGGGGGAGAGGGATAGACAGAGACAGAGAGAAGGAGGGGGAGAGGGATAGACAGAGACAGAGAGAAGGAGGGGGAGAGGGATAGACAGAGATAGAGAGAAGGAGGGGGAGAGGGATAGACAGAGATAGAGAGAAGGAGGGGGAGAGGGATAGACAGAGAGAAGGAGGGGGAGAGGGATAGACAGAGAGAAGGAGGGGGAGAGGGATAGACAGAGATAGAGAGAAGGAGGGGAGAGGGATAGACAGAGATAGAGAGAAGGAGGGGGAGAGGGATAGACAGAGAGAAGGAGGGGGAGAGGGATAGACAGAGAGAAGGAGGGGGAGAGGGATAGACAGAGATAGAGAGAAGGAGGGGGAGAGGGATAGACAGAGATAGAGAGAAGGAGGGGGAGAGGGATAGACAGAGATAGAGAGAAGGAGGGGAGAGGGATAGACAGAGATAGAGAGAAGGGGGAGAGGGATAGACAGAGAGAAGGAGGGGGAGAGGGATAGGCAGAGATAGAGAGAAGGGGGAGAGGGATAGACAGAGAGAAGGAGGGGGAGAGGGATAGGCAGAGATAGAGAGAAGGAGGGGAGAGGGATAGACAGAGAGAAGGAGGGGAGAGGGATAGACAGACAGAGACAGAGAGAAGGAGGGGGAGAGGGATAGACAGAGACAGAGAGAAGGAGGGGGAGAGGGATAGACAGAGATAGAGAGAAGGAGGGGGAGAGGGATAGACAGAGATAGAGAGAAGGAGGGGGAGAGGGATAGACAGAGAGAAGGAGGGGGAGAGGGATAGACAGAGAGAAGGAGGGGGAGAGGGATAGACAGAGATAGAGAGAAGGAGGGGAGAGGGATAGACAGAGATAGAGAGAAGGAGGGGGAGAGGGATAGACAGAGAGAAGGAGGGGGAGAGGGATAGACAGAGAGAAGGAGGGGGAGAGGGATAGACAGAGATAGAGAGAAGGAGGGGGAGAGGGATAGACAGAGATAGAGAGAAGGAGGGGGAGAGGGATAGACAGAGATAGAGAGAAGGAGGGGGAGAGGGATAGACAGAGAGAAGGAGGGGGAGAGGGATAGACAGAGAGAAGGAGGGGGAGAGGGATAGACAGAGATAGAGAGAAGGAGGGGAGAGGGATAGACAGAGAGAAGGAGGGGGAGAGGGATAGACAGAGACAGAGAGAAGGAGGGGGAGAGGGATAGACAGAGACAGAGAGAAGGAGGGGGAGAGGGATAGACAGAGATAGAGAGAAGGAGGGGGAGAGGGATAGACAGAGATAGAGAGAAGGAGGGGGAGAGGGATAGACAGAGAGAAGGAGGGGGAGAGGGATAGACAGAGAGAAGGAGGGGGAGAGGGATAGACAGAGATAGAGAGAAGGAGGGGAGAGGGATAGACAGAGATAGAGAGAAGGAGGGGGAGAGGGATAGACAGAGAGAAGGAGGGGGAGAGGGATAGACAGAGAGAAGGAGGGGGAGAGGGATAGACAGAGATAGAGAGAAGGAGGGGGAGAGGGATAGACAGAGATAGAGAGAAGGAGGGGGAGAGGGATAGACAGAGATAGAGAGAAGGAGGGGGAGAGGGATAGACAGAGATAGAGAGAAGGAGGGGAGAGGGATAGACAGAGATAGAGAGAAGGGGGAGAGGGATAGACAGAGAGAAGGAGGGGGAGAGGGATAGGCAGAGATAGAGAGAAGGGGGAGAGGGATAGACAGAGAGAAGGAGGGGGAGAGGGATAGGCAGAGATAGAGAGAAGGAGGGGAGAGGGATAGACAGAGAGAAGGAGGGGGAGAGGGATAGACAGAGATACAGAGGAGGGGAGAGGGATAGACAGAGATAGAGAGAAGGAGGGGGAGAGGATTGAATGTCCACTAAAGACACAAGCTATTTCATTTCGGAACTAACATATGGTTCAATTTTATTTCATCAATTCACTTGCGCATAGAGGTCTTTAGCAGTGGGAGGAAACAGGTGGTCCTGGAGAAAACCCACGAGGTTGGACAGACGACCCTACTCCTTGTCACGTACAACTGGGCAATTGAGACAGACCTCATGATAGATGCGTTATCCATTTGCCCCCCCCTCCCCTCCATCCTCCCCACCGAGATTATAAGTCTTCAAATAATAACTTTCTACTCACCTTGCATATTTCTCGGTAAATCCATCGACTGAATAACCTCCTCTGAATTATCGAAGGGTTTTAAACCTTGTAACCGTTTTTCCCAAAATAACTGTTAAAAAATAAAATATTGTTAAACATTACATGAAGGATAGTTTGTTAACTCCACAAAAGGTCAAATGCTCTAAAGCGGTTGACACACTAGCCTAAGGATTTGTCCGAATCGTTCAGCTGAATCAATCAGCGTCGAAATTAGCCTAGAGTGTCCACTGTCATTCGGCTGAATAATTCGCGCATATCAAACATGCTTGATATATTCCCTTAGTGTGTCCGCTTAGAAAATAGCCCTGTACTTCCCACTTAACATTTTCTTTTAGGGCATCATCTCCACAGTCGGGGGGGTTGGATGGCTGAATGGTTAGCGTGCGCGCGCTGTATCATAAAGTCTGTCATTGAGTCGACTGGCGTGGTTTCGAATCCCCGGTTGTACGTGACAAGGAGTAGGGTCGCCTGTCCAACCTCGTGGGTTTCCTCCGGGTCCTCCGGTTTCCTCCCACTGCTAAAGACCCCTACGCGCAAGCGAATTATTGAAATAAAATTAAACCATATGTTAGTCCCAAAATGACCTAGTTTGTGTCGAGTGGACGTTAAACCCCATTTCTCTCTCTCTCTCTCTCCACAGTCGAAACCAGGGATTCTGTTTTTGTCTATATATACTGAGGAGCCACCGTGGCTTGGTTGTTAAGATGCTGGCTCGCTAGCCTGGAGGTCGGGTGTTCGATCCCTGCATTGGCCGAGAAAGTTCATCCCGATTTTCCGACGAGGTTTCCCCTTGTCAGTGGTGCAGAACGGAGGGTCTGACAAGGACAGCTGTCTAGTCCTTCGGATGAGACGAAAAACCGAGGTCCCCTGTATATATCGGAATGGACGTAAAAGATCTCTTGACAGTTGGAATTCGATATAAGAGTAGGCGATAGTGCCGCTGCCCGGGCAAAATTTCCCTCATAGCACACTGTATAGCATATGCCTGTCTTCATTAGCCCAGTATAAGAGCAGAACAGTAGGACGTTAAACCCCATTTCATTTCATTTCATTTCTATATATACTGGACATGTCGTACGTGGATTAGCACATCGAATATGCCCAATCAAACAACTCCACAGTTCAAAACATAAACACTAGTTCAAATCCAACAATATATTATTGTATTTTATTGCCTGAAGCTGACCATCTTCAATAGAAGACGTGATCTCGCCTTCACGTAATACCCTGCATATTTCGGCACTTATTTCGATTGGGCACAAGCCCAGCTTGTGAGCCTATCAGATTCCTTGATCGTCGCGAATACCAAGTCTCGCGATTTCAAGCTAAAATGTCATCTGTGATAATCGAGTTGCAAAGTACAAGGTTCATTCAATGTCAAGGTTTCCGTGGAGGTCCCGATGTCACATCCTCTGATTGGACGCTACTGCTCATGTGTCTGTAGGTAACATAGCTATAAGTTTGGGAATTGTGAAGTAAACAAGCAATGGCCAGATGTTGTAAAACTCGCAGTCGTTGCTTCAGGAACATGGAAGCTGACATACCTGTCGTGGTTGATCTTGTGGACCGTGTTTTAATTCCGATTTGGTTTTACTCTCCGGTCTGTTCCGTATCAGTGTAACTGGTTGTTTAAATATGGACGCCGTCTGACGAATTGGTAAAATCAAACTGGTATCGTGGCGTAATCCTTAAAATAAAACTCATTGGTTATAGATCGTAACAAAACATGCAGTCCTGGACACCCAGACTAAATATTCATCACTTTGTCTAATGTGACAAAAAAACAAATTCTTGGTCATAATAATAATGTTTTATTTTTAACCCGTTTCCATTCTGATGCTAAAATAATTTAGCCAATCTACCTGTTTGGTTATCTAAATGACTTTTCTCGATGGTTGGGTCATTACAGTACTTTATCTGGAAACATACTCATTATTCTGATTTAAAATACAGATGCGACATCATCCTTTGATGCTGACGTACCATTATTTCAAATAATGGTACAGTCAATGTGCCAAGCGTACATTATTTATACTAGTTGAAATTTTGGACCCGTGTGACGTATATTTCATTGCAAAGCAAATGCAAGTGTCTGTATTTTAAGTTGTTTAATGGTCCCGAGCTTAAGACATTGCGTAATATATTGAAACAACAACGCGGGGACTAAACTCGAGACCATAAAACCACACTTATTCAGTTCTGGGTATCCAAGACAACCAAATATGGTTATACATAGTTGTTAATGAAATTTTTAGAATGACTGCATCATAGAAATTAGAACCAAAATGTAACAATTATTTCATCCTAGTAAGGGAAAGGGTCTAGGGGAAAATTAACCAGGACCATTTGCATAAAATGGTGAATGGTGTTCGTTAACATACATTATGCAAGAGTTAAATCTGACTATTGCAGGTCTTTCTTTAGGCCTGAAATGTTATATATACTATTAATTAGACATTTATTAACAAAACAAGACCATAATCAACTCTCGATGGCATCGGATATTCAAGATTTTAACTAGATTAGAATGGTTCGCCATTTAAAAATTTAATCTAAAAATGGGAAAGCGAGGCTAAGTCTCCAATATACCAGTGCCTTAGTTACCACAATGCACACATCTTGGTAAAACTACAAACAGTGATAACTTGGCTCGAAATGAAGTAATTTGAATGAAATTTTAAATATTTGTATTTTACATTATCTATTTTTGCGTTATTATAGCAAGAATGGTCAGCTCTTTATTTAAATCTTACATAATGTATCTTTAATAAATTACAGGAAATAGAAGATAAAAAAGCTAACATGCAGTAAATATTAACGCTAAGTGAAATCAGTAGAAAATTATAAACAAGTGGTTGCCATGCAGGATACGCCCACATTTTGCAAGAGATGGACACAGAACAAGCCAAGAAAAAAAAAAGAATTTTCATACAATCAGGGGTCATAATCCAGGAAGTTACGGTACAATATGTGCGAATATCAAAAGGAACCAAGATCTTTGGGTAATATACATAAATTTCAAGTTTCATCAACAATTGTGACCTCAAGAGTGTCCACATCCCTGGCATTACATACTTTTACACTATTTACATACATGAAGAGGCCATCTTGTCAGGCAGTTTCACTTTCAGTTGGATTTTCCCAAAATTTGAACTCAACCATCATTATCGTGTAACGTTGATATATTTAAATGTTGTTTTTTCTTAAATCAGATAAAAATTGTGACCTGTAGAGGGTCTACAGTCCAAAAAAACGTGATTTTCCATACAATCAGCAGCCATAATCCATGAAGTTACTGTCCGATGCATGCCAATATCGAAAGAAGCCAAGATCTTTGGCATATATAAATCTATTTCAAGTTCCGTCAAAGTCGGATAAAAAATGTATGACCTGTAGTGGCCACAAACAAATAGTGGACGGACAGACAGGGGCAATGACCATATACGTCACATGAAAATACAAGTGTATAAAAATGTAGATGTTATCTGTTAGGAAAATATACAGAATATTATCCTGTAAATTTACAGGTACCTGATAAGATTCATTGATTTAGCGATTATTGAACAAGATACAATTATATGGAATACGAGTTACTTTTCCAGTTTATTTCTGGTGACGTTTCGACCAGGGTTCTCTTTTGTTTATGAAGTAACTTGTATTCCATATCAATGTGTCACTTGATAAGATTCAACCATTTAATCCCCGATAGTAACACGCGAAGAGTTCTTTAATGTAAATAATAAAGGCTACCTCAACAAATGTCTTTACTTAGAAAATATCAAAAGCCGCGAAATTAGATATACATGTCCCAGTACATGTAATTATAAGTTGTAACAAATTCCATTCAATCACTTTTATTTCATCACTGAAATTGTAGTAATTGTTATTCATGGCAATAATGTCAATAATCAAACCAGAGAGAGAGAGAGAGAGAGAGATAGAGAGAGGTTTAACATCCACTCAACACAAACTATATCAGTGGGAGGAAACTGGAGGACCCAGAGAAAACCCATGAGGTTGGACAGGCGACCCTTCTCCTTGTCACGTACAAGCGAGCAATCGAAACCATGCCACTTGACTCAATGACAGGCTTTTTGATACAACGCGCACATGCTAACCATTCAGCCAGAAATTGTATCGCAATATATTAATACTTGACAAAAGACAAAATGTATTGCAATATAATGCAGTATTGCCATACTTCGATAAAGTCAGGGTTTATCACAAAGCACAGTTTTATTTTGAATAGTTTTATTGTTTTTACAACTTTGGTCTTGGAGTTGGACCCTTATTGTTTACTGCAAAGCCTATAAAATGACTGATTATGTGAATACACATTTCACTTTATTATTTGTTTTTACAACTGGTCTTGGCTTAGCAGACTTATTGTATACTGCAAAGCCTAAATAATCTGACTAATTATGAAGCCGTCATAAACAGTCTAGTTAACATTTGAATATAAAATAAAAGTAGAAAAATATCGATACGGCAAAAATGTATCGATATAGTGTATCGAGGTTGATCGTATTGCAATATATCGATGTAGCAATATTTTTTTTGACAGCCCTATCAGTAGTGGTTGACATTTTGTCAGTAACAAACAAAAAATCATTATTTTCAGGCCTGGCAATTCATGTCACTGTAATCTTGTGTATAATACTTTCAACATTCATTCAATATCATAAAAATCATTTAAAATCACCCAAAATCACCTAATTTGTACGTGTCCATTTTAAAGCAGACCACTCAATTTTGATAATGAGTGAATGAATGTTAAAGAAATTAATGTTAAATACACAAGATTAAATGATACCTGGGTTACAGTGTAGGTAGGCCTATATTGGTTTATAGTGTGGTAACGAATCTATGACCACTGCCGACACCAATCATCCAACCAATGATATAAAATAGGTGAATGCAGATAAGCTTCACACCAAGACAGGATAGTTTCACATCAAATAAAAAAAACACAACTAATCTACTTAACAACAAATCATTTTAGGCCATTACAAAATAATATTCTGGTTTTCAAACAATCTGATACGCGAAGGGGGGGGGGGGCTTTTCATAAACATCACAATCAAAATATCTCACCATATTGTTTAGTTTATATAATTACAAAAGTTTGATTATCCAGTATCATTTTATGATGGTCAATAACATTTATCAGGGTTGTGTTCTTGATAAATGAGTCTACGCCACATTTCTGGATTCATTTAATTTCTTTGTTACAGCTACTTCCTGTAACCTGGCCCGTTTCACAAAACATTCTCGGACTTCAGTTAAGAATTTACTGAAAATTGTTTGCCTTATTTTAACTAAAATATAGCTCTTTATAAAGCTCTTGTTGTTTTAATGTATCAAATACATCAATAAGAAACAATGCACAAAGTTTCTGCTTCAAAAATATTTCTCATGAACAGTGATTAAAAGTTGAGTAAATTCTTAACTGAAGTCTGTGAATGCTTTGTGAAACCAAGGCTCGGCTAAAAATAGAAACATGTGATGCATCACTTTTTAATCGACACAGGATTACCTGACGGCTGACAACCAGAATATTCTTTATGTATGGCCTTAGTAACCTACTTTTATCTTTTGCCAGAGGATTGAGATATTTATTTTTTTTTTTTTTTGATTTTTGTATCCTGTTCTTGATGTCAAATGGGGGGAAATAAAAAAAAGTGAAAAATAAAATTTGTTTCTTAATTTTAAGGATACTGAAATCAGATGAACCTATATTTCAGCATTTAAACCATGCCAATCCTGTTTTCAAAACATAGGAAATTTCACAGAGTGAAAGTGATGAAAGGAAAAAATTTAGATTTGGAATTTTAAATAATTTATTATTTAAGAAACAAATTTTTTAGTGAAATTTTTGTAAAAACAAGTTTCAACTCCCTTAACTAGAACCGGTGAAAATAAACAAAAAAAAAATCACAATAATTTAAAATGACTAGGACTGGCTAAATTTGCGCTAAAAAAAAGCGACACCAAAATTGAATTTATATTGAAATCAATTTATACTGTGAAATAAAATTGATCACAGGGATGAGTTTTAGAATTAAATTAATTGAAATATAAGTAATTTATCCAGCCCTAGTCTCGGTGATCTGTAGGCAAAAACAAACATGGGTCCTCAACCACATAAAGAGAAAGTTTCTGTGACAACACAAACCTCTGGCAAAGTCAAAAGATGATCCCTTGTGACCCTTACTTTTGCGACAGGCATTAAAGTTTACACGACCTGTACGGAAATCGAAAGCACTTAATTCAACTGCATCACCTAGTGCTCTTGCTAGTTGTGGTTTACTGCGGATCTTCTTTCCATCAGGGCTGGGAAAAAAGTCAGAAATTAACATAAATATATATATACATAACACATGACACAATTATATGGAATAAAAGTTACTTGATAGATTTATTTCTGGCAACTTTTGGACAGAGAGAGACAGAGAGAAAGGGAGAGAGAGAGAGATTAACCTCCAGTCCACTAGACACAAACTAGGTCATTTCGGGACTAACATATCGTTCAATTTTTATTTCAATAATTTGTTTACGCGTTGGGGTCTTTTAGCAGAGGAAGGAAACCAGAGGACTCAGAGAAAACCCACGAGGTTAGATGAACGACCCTACTCCTTATTAATGTTTTGATGTGGGTTCTCTAATAGTACAATGAAGATATATAATATGGAAGAAAGAAGAACACTAATGTACAATAAGGGACATTCATTTAGAAACCATCAAAGTGGTTGGTATTAATACATGTACGATGTACGTTGAATTTTTAACGTCACTGATGGTCATTTGAATGATTCTGAATCCCTTGTAAACTAGAGAGAGAGAGAGAGAGAAAAATGGGGTTTAACGTCCACTCGACACAGACTAAGTCATTTCGGGACTAACATATGGTTTAATTTTATTTCAATAATTCGCTTGTGCGTAGGGATCTTTAGCATTTAGCAGTGGGAGGAAACCAGATGACCCGGAGAAAACCCACGAGGTTGCACAGGCAACCCTATTCCTTGTCACGTACAACCAGGGATTAGAAACGACGCTATTGACTCAATAACAGGCCTTATGATACAGCGTGCAGGTGCTAACCAATCGGCCATTCAACCTCCCTTGTAAACTATAATATCGTGGAAGTTGAATCAGTCTGACAGTGGTTTATTTCAGCATCACCTGCAGACAATATGAACCATGCAGCACTAGTTTCCTATTGCGGTATATTAGATTCAAAGTTCTAATGTGCTATCGCCTAATTTCTATTTTCTATTCATGTAATTTCTAAATTAAGACAATGTATAATCCAATTTCTTTATTTGTTCAGTGCCAATTTTAAATCTATTTCATCTTATTTCTATTATTAAGACGAAAAATGTCTTCTTCATTTAAAATTGACGCTGAACAAATAAAGAAATTTGATTATACATTGTCTTAATTTAGAAATTGCATGAATAGAAGTCAGAAATTACATGAATAGAAGTTAGAATTTTGAATCTAATATATCCCCATAGTTTCCCCACCCCTATAAGTGTCGTATAAAACCTTTTCATCAGCCTCTTTCGATAAGGGAGAAACGCGGCTAATCAACTTTATCAACTAATCAACACAGGGATTAAAACATGGGACCTCCAGGTTAGCGAGTCAACGTCTTACTCAATAAGCTACGCATAGTAATGAATTGGGTTGGTTCATATTATCACATGATATATTGGGGTCTGGAACGGCAAGACAAAAATCCAGTGAAGAGTTGGTGCATTTTTTTTCACTTTAATCGCTTCTAATAGGCCTACTAGTAGTAGGCCTAATAAAGATTTTAATTGAAAATACAGCACCAGTTCTCACTTGCATGGAAGAGGCCATTCTGGAAGACACTACTATAAGAATATTAGTTACAATGTACATAAAACAAAATAATGAGAAGTTCTGTACAGTATACAGTGACTTCCTTCTTCAAATTAATTCATTTGGTTGGCGTGTCTTTATTATAATGTACAGAAAATAGCACAGTAGCTATTAAATAATCATTTTTCATTTCTTCAACCAATTTGCACCAGCCTAATATTAGTATTGTAATGTAAACAAAAGAATAGAACAGGAGGAGGATTGAGAATGAAAGAGTCAGGAAATAGTTCCTGAAAATCTCATAATAAATTCAGTAGGAATGTAGATCTACGCTATTTTCTTCATCTAACAGGTTTTTACCTATAATAATAAACATCTGTTTTGCCGGCTGATAAGCCAGATTTTCGTACAACCTCCTCCCTTCTCCAGCCGGGAGGTAGGCCACCTTCTCTGCGTTTTCCATCCATTATTTTCCTAAAAGTGGGTCAGATTACCGGAAGTTAGTCTACATCCAGATGGCACTTCGAGCGATTCGTCTAGCCACTTGTGCGCCGTCCAGATCCATGGTCAAACTGACCCCGGAGAATCTGCACTTGACTGTTTGCATCGTGTCCAAAATGAGACAAAATAAAAGTTTGTTATAGGCTAAACATTTTTTAAGGCCAAGGAAATTAATTCCTGTACAGGCTTGGAATTAGGCCCTATTTTTGTTTTTGTTTTTATTAGAAGCCACGCGATTTGTAGCGCCCTCTACTTTTAGCAATGGCGGCGGATTTGACATGATTCATCAGACGTCAAAGGGTTTTTTGATTTATAGCTTTTCTAAGAAAAGATTGCAAACTTTTCACATTGTGTTGCTATCCCACTCTAAGTGGGGTGCAGTTGTCGTAAAAAGAAAATGATATAGCTAAGATAAAAGAAGCAACAAACTTTCAAGCCCTAAGTTTTTCGCGGAACCAAACGAAACTAAAACAAAAACAGCACATGTCATCATGTCATGTCAGCGAGTCAGTCACTCAACAGTGGACTGTACTAGATCTTTGTACGATCTGGAAAATATCTTTCTCTAGGGTTAGGTTTACAAATTACATGTCAAACGTACAAATTGAAATTGTAAAAACGGTGGATTGTGGGTAAAACTATTCTGAAGGGTTAGGGTTAGAATTGTGGGTATACACGGAAAGGTATTTTCCAGATCGTACAAAGATCTAGTATCTTGCCAGTGCAGTGGAACCTGGGAGAAATAACTTGCCCGAGTAGAGCTAAGCTGGTGTGATTGTTAAATATAAAACCTTCATTCATAATTAAGTTTTCCGAATTGAATTTAATTTAGATCAAAATTAAATTGTATGATTAATTTTGTTAAAAAAATAAAAATAAAAAAAAACAACAAAAAAGTGTGAGAATTATTTTAATTGACGTCAGAAATATATGACGTCGTTGATTAAACGCGTCATAAAAATATTTCTATGGGTCGCGTAATCTCGCTTGGGCATGCGCATTGCTATTTTTACCCAGTGTATCCGGTTCCGGTCAGAATTTTTTTTTAATCAACAGTCTGTGGGGCAGATTTAGTAACAATCCTGTGTGTTACAGGAAAAGAGCTTTGCTCAAGCACCGCCGCATCGCGCGCTGCTTTAGAGGTTCGCTCTATATTAAATCAAGCATTTTTCCAAATTGATTTTAAGTTAGATCTGGCCTAAATTGTATGATTAATTTTGTGTTAAGAAAAAAAAGAACTAAAAGTGTAAGAATTAGCCTAAAATCTAAAAGTAAATTGTATGATTAATTTTGTTTTAAAAAAATGAACTAAAAAGTGTGAGAATTATTTTCATTGACGTCAAAAATATGTGACGTCACTGATTAGGCGCATCATAGAAATATTTCTATGAGACGCGTAATCTCGATTGGGTGAAAATTGGTAAGTTGGCATGCACATTGCCAGTTTTGCCCTGTGTATGCGGTTTAGGTCTGAATTTTTTTATAATCAACAGTCTGTGCGTGTTGATTTTAGTCATGCTCGTGTGTCACTGGAAAAGAGCTTTGCTCAAGCACCGCACAGTACGAAGTGCCGCGCCAAGCACGATGCTTGTGACATCCACGTCAACTACTAATACTACATTGCAAATCAAAGAACTGGAAATACTTCAAGACTTTGTATGTGGACTCAACTGGTATGAGGGGGTTGGATGGCTGAATGGTTAGCGTGTGGTACGAAAAACCGAGGTCATGCGTATACATTGGCGTGCACGTTATAAGAAGCCTAGTGTAGTTTGATTCAGAGTTGTATGGCCTGACACAATATTCATTCTAATAGCTATATGAGTGTCTAAAGTTTGTATACTTCGTTAATCCTTACAAATGGCTTTTTTTGATTTCAGACTAAAGTTAAAAACTATTTTCCATAATTTATCAAGTGGTCTGTCCTGGACCTTGATGAATGAAAACACAAGAGTTGATGAAGTACTGCTATAATTGATGATGTTGAAAGAAGAAAAGGGAGAAAATGTTTGATGGTTTGACAGCTTGGTTTTCATCTAGTGTTGATGAGTCTATTAAACAACATTGGGGTAGGTTTATCTTTAAACAGCAACAACATTGGGGTAGGTTTATCTTAAAACAGGAACAACATTGGGGTAGGTTTATCTTTAAACAGCAACAACATTGTGATAGGCTTTTACAATGTACCGGGGGTAGGGAGGGGGTGGCCGAATGGTCAGCGCATATGCATTGTATCATAAAGTCTGTCATTGAATCAGCTGGTGTGGTTTCGGTTGTACGTGACAAGGAATAGGGTCACCTGTCCAACATGGTGGGTTTTCTCTGGTCTTCCGGTTTCCTCCCACTGCTAAAGACCCCTACATGCAAGCGAATAATTGAAATAAAATTGAACCATATGTTAGTCCCGAAATGATCTAGTTTGTATCAAGTGGATGTTAAACCCCATTTTCTCTCTCTTATAATGTACAAAAAAATAACTTTGGGGTAGATTGGTTTGCTGTAAAAAATAAAAACAACATTGGCATAGATTTACACATATAAAGCAAATTTGTGGTAAGTTCCTTAAGGCAGGACACTACCTAAGAATTTTACATTGATAATAGAAACTTGCCATTTAGTGTAATATTAGTATATGATGTCCCAAATCAGATTTGATAATTTGAGCGCAAAATGTTTATTTGTTGCCATGAAAATGGTGGCCATATTGGATTTTTTTATATATTCACGGTGGCTATGTTAGGAAATCAAAATCTTCAACAATTTTATTGAAACCAATTTTTTTGATTTGGAATAACATATATAGGCATTAAAGAGTGCAATAAGGCATAAATTTTACTATTTGAATGTTAATAAAGAACATTATGCATCCCACATAAAACAAGTGGGTGTGGCCGAACACACCACTAAAAAGATTTTGTACAATAAAATGTCCAAATGTATAACAAACACTTTGAAAATCACCTTATTGCACACAGTAGCTATAGCACTAATCGTATTCCAAAGAAGAGACCATTATCTCTCATAGATTTTGAGAATTTGATTTTCTAAGACCTGATATGGGTGAAATTTGACAGATCAATCTATACAGAGTGTTTTATAAGGTAGTGTCCTGCCTTAAATGACATTTAGAATCATAATAACACAACTTTATGGATTAACCAACTAGTGACTATTTTATTTTTATAGAGAATAATCATGGTGTTGTGCGTGATGTTGATGAGGCACAGTTTTTATTCAGCCAAAATTCTGAAATACAGGACACAAAAAGGTAACACAAGACAGGTTATTCTTATTCTTGCCCCTTGTCAGAGATGCAGGACGGAGGGCCTGACAAGGACAGCTGTCTAGTCCTTCGGATGAGACGAAAAACCGAGGTCCCGTGTGTACATTAGAATGCACGTAAAAGATCCCTTGGCAGTTGGAATTCGATATAAGAGTAGGGGATAGTGCCCCTGCCCGGGCAAAATTTCCCTCATAGCACACTGTATGGCGTATACCCGTCTTCATTAGCCCAGCATAGGAGCAGAACAGTAGGATGTTAAACCCCATTTCATTTCATTTTCTTATTCTTGTAGGGGGATGGATGGCCAATGATTATTGGTTAGCGCATGCACGCTGTATCATAAGGTCTGTCATTGAGTCAACTGGCGTGGTTTCAAATCCCCGGTTGTACGTGACAAGGAGTAGGGGTGCCTGTCCAACCTCGTAGGTTTTCCCCGGGTCCTGCGGTTTCCTCCCACTGCTAAAGACCCATACGCTCAAACTAATTATTGAAATAAAATTGAACCATATGTTAGTCCCAAAATGACCTAGTTTGTGTCGAGTGGACGTTAAACCCCATTTCTCTCTCTCTCTCTCTCTCTCTCTCTCTTACAAGGAGTAGCGTCGCCTATCCAACCTCGTGTGTTTTCTTTGGGTCCTCTGGTTTCCTTCCACTACTAAAGACCCCTATGCGCAATCGAATTATTGAAATAGAATTGAACCATATGTTAGTCCTGAAATGACCTAATTTGTGTGGAGTGGGCCTCTCTCTATCTATCTCTCTCTCGTCCAACCTCGTGGGTTTTCTCCGGGTCCTCCGGTTTCCTTCCACTACTAAAGACGCCTACGCGCAAGCGAATTATTGAAATAGAATTGAACCATATGTTAGTCCTGAAATGACCTAGTTTGTGTTGAGTGGCCCCTCTCTCTCTGTCTTGCAAGAAAACCTGATACCACTTCTACTTTTGTATTCTATTGTACTTTTTAATGAACTTTATATATTTCAATTTGAAAGATCATTTTTATGGCTGTGGCTCGATTAGTCAGGAACTGTCTCCCTAATTCAAAAGTTCTCTGATAGAGTTGCTCAGGATATTCTGTTGTAGATTCCCCCTTGTCAGTGGTGTGAAACACTTAAGATCCTGTGTGGGGGGGTTGGATGGCTGAATGGTTAGCGTGCGCGCGCTGTATCATAAAGTCTGTCATTGAGTCAACTGGCGTGGTTTCGAATCCCCGGTTGTACGTGACAAGGAGTAGGGTCGCCTGTCCAACCTCGTGGGTTTCCTCCGGGTCCTCCGGTTTCCTCCCACAGCTAAAGATCCCTACGCGCAAGCGAATTATGGAAATAAAATTGAACCATATGTTAGTCCCGAAATGACCTAGTTTGTGTCGAGTGGACGTTAAACCCTATCTGTCTCTCTCTCTCTTAAGATCCTGTGTGCACTTTGACATTTGAATTCGAAATAAGAGTAGGCTGTAGTGTGACTATGTCAGTACAATTTCCGTCCTTGCAGTATACATTGCTTATGTCCATCCTCATTAGCCTGGTTGGTTTCAGCAAGTGGGTAAGACGCTGGCTCGGTAGTCTGGAAGTCGTGTGTTCGATCCCTGCATTGGCTGAGAAATTTCATTAGGCTTTTCCGGCTTGGTTTCCCCTTGTCAGTGGTGCAAGACGGAGGGTCTCACAACAACAGCTGTCTAGTTGTTCGGATGGTATATAAAACCGAGGCCCTGTGTATGTGTTGTTGTGCAAAATTTCCCTCATAGCACACTGTATGGCGTATGCCTGTGTTCATTAACCCAGCCGTAGCAGAACAGTAGAATGTTATACCCCATTTCATTTCATTTTTTGGTTTCAGCAAAGTAAATCGTTAAAGCCCTTTATATTTTATTCTGCAGACATTACAGTGAATGTAATGTTTTATATTTCTGTATTTTAGGTTGTATGAAAGTGAAGCTTATTTAAATGAACATTTAACCATCTTTCATGTTCAGTATATCAACGATTGTATTAAATCAGGGGACAGAAAAAAAGTTGTTTTAGGAAAATATTTCTTACCTCCCTTAGAAATACAGAATTGTAAGTAAAATAATTTATTTTATTGTCCTCCGCCTTTCAAAGAAAGCAGGGAACTGTTAAATTGGGCCTGCCTATCTGTGTGTGTGGGTGTTGGTGTGCCTTTCGAAGAAAGCTGGGGACTATTAAAATGGGCCTGACTGTCCATTGATCTGTGTGTCACCCTTTTTTTGGGACACAATAACTTTTCTTCTAATTGAGGTAGAATGTTCTAACCTGGTCTAGGTGTTGATTAGGTGAATTTCTTGACAATGTTAGATTACAATCATTTTCCACGAAGGTGGGTTTGATGGCCTAATGGTTAGCGCGTGCGCACTGTATCATAAGGTCTGTCATTGAGTCAACTGGCGTGGATGCGATTCCCCGGTTGTACGTGACAAGGAGTAGGGTCTCCTGTCCAACTTCGTGGGTTTTCTCCGGGTCCTCCGGTTTCCTCCCACTGCTAAAGACCCCTATGCGGAAGCGAATTATTGAAATAAAATTTAAACCATATGTTAGTCCCGAAATGACCTAGTTTTCGAACATAACAACTTTGCTTTTAATTGAGATAAAATGTTTGAACTTGGTGTATGTGTTCAATAATCATAGTGTATAGTTTCACTACCAGGTACTGCGTTTGATCATGAATTTTTTCTGCTTAGACTAAGTATAAATGATCAGTCTGATTGCTCGATACTTTTCAAAAAGATAAATGTTCAATTAATTAGTATGTGCCATCTATTTATTTTGGGACTTCCGCGGGGGATATCAGCCTTACTGTTGGCTTCGTTGATATATTTTAGTGAATCAAAGTGTTTAATTTTGAGTCAAAGACTCGTAGAATTCTGTGGTTCGGAAGCCAAATAGTCTAATGTTGTGTGCGTATTAGAGCTTAAGGTCTGTCATTGAGTCAGGTGGTGTGTTTTTGATTCCCACGTTGAACATGACAATTTCTTTGTGAAAGTTTGTTTAATATTTGGTTTGAAGCATTGGGACCATGCCTTCTCTGTCTTCCGTCCATCCAGCAACCGAGAATCAACAATCTTCAGTTATGTGCATGTATTTATCTGTTAAATAAGATGATGAAAAGTTTGTATGAAATTATAGCTGCTATGTGATTTGTTTTTTCAGTAATTAGAAACCAGGTAGAATTTATCTGGGAGAAAGACAAGGGAAGTATACAGTCAGTTCAGGTAATAAAAATAAAATATGTTGAGTTTACCTATTAATTGAACATAATACAAGAAATGATTCCTATTATTAAGGCCTTTCTCAGACATCATATTGGTGTGCATGAAAAAGATCCCTTTGCAGTTTGATTTGATATAAGAGTAGGCTTTCGCGCTGAGGTCCAGGTAAAATTTCCGTCAAAGCAAACTGTGTGGCGTATGCCCGTCTGTATTAGCCCTGTCGGAGCAGAACAGTAGGATGTTAAACTCCATTTCATATATTAGTTGAATCTGTAAAGTAATATCAGACCAAATAGTTTAATATCATTTGGTGTTGATAAAGATATGATGAATTAAAAATTTTATGACCTTCGGCAGCCTCTTCAGGCGATACAAACGAGCCAGGTCCACCTATAAATGTCGAGTAAAATCTTTTTCTGGGATCGATTTCTTTTTTTAATGTAATAGAATCTGAGTAGCGTGGATATTTTGGTAATGTAAAGTTTCGTATGAAGGTGATTTCTGGTAATTTTTGAGAAATTTTCTGTGGGTTTTCGTGCACTGTTTTCTCTTGTCGGTGGTGTGGGACCAGCAAGGACATTGTCTAGTCGTTTGGATTGGACAGAAAACCAAGGTCCCTATTTAGGCTACCCATTGGGGCGTATGGAAAAGATCCCATGTCTGGACAAAATTTCTCTCATAGAACAATGTAATGGCGTAATTACATCTTCGTTTGCCCAGTCGGAACAGAACAGTAGGATATTAAATCCCATTTGATTTTATTTGTTGAGCAGGTGAATACAGGAAAGAGAAAGACAGATGGTGTATTAGGAGGAGATAACTCTTCACCAGTTAAATCAAGATGTCCTAGAATAATAGACGCTGGTGTATTAGGAGGAGATAACTCTTCACCAGTTAAATCAAGATGTCCTAGAGTAATAGACGATGGTGTATTAGGAGCAGATAACTCTTCACCCGTTAAATCAAAATGTTCTAGAGTAATAGAAACAGGTACAACTACCGCTGTTGAGAACTCTTCACCAGGTAAATCAAGATGTTCTAGGGTAATAGACGCTGGTGTAACTACCTCTGTTGAGAACTCGTCACCAGTTCAATCAAAATGTTCTACAGGAATGGACACTGGTTAGTATAACTTCATATAACTTGAAATCAGTTTGTGTCGGCATACCTTTTATCTTTTCATTGTTTACCATGAAACAGAGTAGTGCAGCATTGTGGTTGTGCTAATATTTTTGGATATATATATATATATATATATATATATAAATATATATATTTACACTTAAAAGGGGCATTGAGTGACTGATTGGTTTAAAATGTGCACTTTAGATCACAAGGCCTGTCATTGTATGTGACATGGAGTAGGGTTGCCTCCCACTGCTAAAGACCCTCTACGCACAAGCGAATTAATAAAATCTGTTAGTACCTAAATGACCTAGTTTGTGTCGAGTGGATAGTTTGTTCTCTCTCTTACACTAAAAAGGATCAGTCGATTTACACAATATGAATATCGACTAGTTGTTTGGATGGGATGAAAAACCAAGATGCCCATGTATACAGCACTATAAACGCACCCAGACAGTTTGATATTACAAGTAAAAATAGGTCGTAGTGTAGCTGCTGGGGCAAATTTCCCTCATAGCACACTATATAGCATAAGCCCGTCTTCATTAGCCCAGTCGGAGCAGACCAGTAGAATGTTAAACCATATTGCATTTCACTAGTTCCTTTTTATAGGCCCACATTGAAATGTGGTCGTATATTGTCGTCGCCCCCGTCCGTCGGTCCGGCGTCCACAATTGCTTGTGGACACTCTATAGGCGAAAGTCAATATCCGATTGACTTTAAATTTTTACACAGTGTTTAAGGTCATGAGACGAAGAAGCCTATTGATTTTCAGCAATTTCTGATAATTACTGCCAGAGTTATGGCTCTTGATCACTTCAAAAAAATCTTGTGGACTCTCTAGAGGCCAAAGTTATTATATCCTATTGATTTTAAATTGATACACAGTGCTTAAGGTCATCAGACGAAGAATCCTATTGATTTTCAGCAATTTCTGATAATTACTGCCAAAGTTATGGCCCTTGTTTGATCACTTTGAAAAATCTTGTGGACGCTGTAGAGGCCAAAGTTACTATCCGATTGACTTCAGATTGATACACAGAGTTTAGGATCTTGAGACGAACAAGTATATTGATTTTCAATGAATTTTTATGACTTGGAACAGCTAAATCCATGATACAGTATTAAAAGTTTTGTTTACAAAACGTTAGCATGGGGCAGAACTTTATAAAAACCAAACAAATTCTAATGGTTTTCTGAGTTGTTGCTCTTAATCAGATTTTAGTGTATTATAAATGTTTGATTACCGAAAAAAGTAAAAATATGCGACAACTCTTGTTGACTGCCCGGACGATTTAGCTGCTGTGGGCATATGTTTCGTTGCCTGGCAACCTATCTTTAATTTAGACATATTCTTCAATTTTACCTAGCAAAAAACATTTTGGTAAATGTTTTCAGATTCTATCCATATCAACGATCTACCCAAGATACGAGGCCAGATTGAAGATTTTATTCCAGGAGAAAATGGCTGTGAGGTATTTCTGAAGATGTAAGAAAGCTGGAACATGTTTTAAAACAAGAAATGTCAACAGATTTTATAACATTGTGTGAGATATTTCTGACAATGTAAGAAACCCGAAACCTGTCTGCAGTGAGTTGTTTCTAAAAAAATAAATGTGGACAAACTTTATGACATTGTAAACCACATTTTGTGCAGCTGGTTATATTCTTATCGTCCATTATCATGTGATTGTAATGTGGATTCAAATGAAATTTTTTTGGACTATCTTCAGCTTTAAAAATAATACCACAGTATTCATTGTTATGTTCCTACAACAGGGTCAGTTAATTGATGGCAGGGCTAGAGATTAGTTAATTGAGGGGAGGGCTAGAGGTCAGTTAATTGAGGGGAGGGCTAGAGGTCAGTTAATTGAGGGGAGGGCTAGAGGTCAGTTAATTGAGGGTAGGGCTAGAGGTTGGTTAATTGAGGGTAGGCCTAGAGATTAGTTAATTGAGGGTAGGGCTAGAGGTTGGTTAATTGAGGGGAGGGCTAGAGGTCAGTTAATTGATGGCAGGGCTAGAGATTAGTTAATTGAGGGGAGGGCTAGAGGTTGGTTAATTGAGGGTAGGGCTAGAGAATGGTTAATTGAGGGGAGGGCTAGAGGTTGGTTAATTGAGGGTAGGGCTAGAGAATGGTTAATTGAGGGGGGGGCTAGAGGTCAGTTAATTGAGGGGAGGGCTAGAGGTTGGTTAATTGAGGGTAGGGCTAGAGAATGGTTAATTGAGGGTAGGGCTAGAGGTTGGTTAATTGAGGGCAGGGTAAGAGGCTAGTAATTGAGGGTAAGGAATAAGGTTGTCAGTCAGGGGAGGTTGGTTAGTTGAGATTAAGAGTTTAAAGGGCATTTTAAGAGATTTGTTTATTGAGTCTAGTAATTGATGATCAAGTTGGGACGCACAAACTATTAAACAATTTAAATTTAGTTACGAAAGTTTCTTAATTCAGAATATTGAATTTTTTTATAAAAAAACGTTTTTCGTATTTAATTTTAATGTTACCTATTTTACCTTTATAGTGAAAAGAATTGTAAATAACAATTGCGTTTTATATCAAGAAGTGTTATAAATTGTTTATTATTGAGTCTAGGGTTTTCAATCCCACACTTGGACCCCTGATTTACTCCCACTGCGAACGACCCCTATGTGCAAGCGAATTACCAAAATTTAAAATTGTACAATATGTTAGTCCCAAAATGTTCTATTTTGTGTTGACTGGATGTTGTAAAGTATGGCCAGATTGTCAATGACTGCTGTTTGGCACATGATTAGATAACCAACTGCGGTTCAGTGACGTTGGTTGACCGAACATCGCCAAACATCTCTATTTCAGTTGATGTTAAACTCCAAGCTTACTTCATAAAGACGACCATTTTATGAAATGTTTGTATATTGTATTGTTAAATTATTGTTTTGTTAGTAGTAATAAAAGTTGTTAAGATTTAACCAATATTTATGTTGATAATCAGTGAGAGTCTTTAACCAATCTGATTAAAGTACAGATCTATATTTCGGTTTCTTTTTTTTATACTTTCAATGGCCTCTACTACATGAAGATCTGACCAGTTGAAGTGTGAGGTCGCGTCAAGGGCCGTACGAGCAGACATTGATTAATCAACCAGCGTTGATGTTTCTAGTGGTTTACCCACAGTTCCGTGCATCGCACGCCAAGAACTCGCCGTAACCGACCGTTTCATTGACTAATCCCTCCCTAAAGACAAGTAAAACAAAATTTTGAATTATAAGAAATGAAACGAAATAGGATTTAATCAGATTGGTATTTAATACGAGATCCAGGGTTCGAACACGGTAGGGGGGCCACAGTGGATCTGTAACCAGGATATCCAGGGTTCGAACATGGTAGGGGGACCACAGTGGATCTGTAACCAGGAGATCCAGGGTTTGATCATGGTAGGGGGACCACAGTGGATCTGTAACCGGGAGGTCCAGGGTTTGAACGTGGTAGGGGGACCACAGTAGATCTGTAACCAGGAGGTCCAGGGTTCGAACATGGTAGGGGACCACAGTGGATCTGTAACCAGGAGGTCCAGGGTTCGAACATGGTAGGGGGACCACAGTGGATCTGTAACCAGGAAGTCCAGGGTTCAATCCCAGCATTGGTCGAGAAAGTTCCCCCGAATCTTACACCATGGTTTCCCCTTTGTTAGAGGAACAGGACAGAAACACGAATAGGATGAAATCAAAGAAATGAAATGAAATGGGGTTTAACGTCCTACTGTTCTGCTCCGAACTGGGCTAATGAAGACAGGCATACACCATACAGTGTGCTACGAGGGAATGTTTGCCCGGACAGCGGCACTATATCGAATTCCAACTGTCAAGGGATCTTTTACGTGCACGCCAATGTGTACCTCGGTTTTTCGTCTCATCTGAACGACTAGACAGCTGTCCTTGTCAGGCCCTCCATCCTGCATCACTGACAAGGGGAAACCACGCCGAAAAATCTGGATGAACTTTATCGGCCAATGCAGGGATTGAACACACGATCTCCAGGCTAGCGAGCCAGCGTCTTACCCACTAAGCTACGTGATCCCATGATTAAATCAAAGAAATTTCTTATTTTAAAAAAGGTTGATGTGTACACAAAGTTTCATACAGACATCTATAATAATTTTTAGGGGGGGTTGGATGGCCGAATGGTTAGCATGTGCGTGCTGTATCATACCGTCTGTCATGGGTTTTCTCTGGGTCCTCCCACTGCTAAAGACCCCTAGACGCAAGCGAATTATTGAAATAAAATAGCACTATATGTTAGTCCCAACCTAGTTTGTATCGAGTGGACGTTAAACCCCATTTCAGGGGGTTGGATGGCCGAATGGTTAGCATGTGTGCGCTCTATCATAAGGCCTGTCAATGAGTCAACTGGCGTGGTTTTGATTCCCCGGTTGTACGTGACAAGGAGTAGGGTCGCCTGTCCAATCTCGTGGGTTTCTCTGGGTCCTGCCACTTCTAAAGATGCCTACACGCACGCGAATTATTGAAATAAAATAGCACCATATGTTAGTCCCAACCTAGTTTGTATCGAGTGGACGTTAAACCCCATTTCGGGGGGTTGGATGGCCGAATGGTGTGCGCTCTATCATAAGGACCTGTCATTGAGTCAACTGCCGTGGTTTCGAATCCCCGGTTGTATGTGACAAGGAGTAGGGTCGCCTGTCCAACCTTGTGGGTTTTCTCAGGGTCCTCCAGTTAGACCCAAAATGACCCAGTTTGTGTCGAGTGGACGTTAAACCCCATTTCTCTCTCTCCTAAATTTTGAACGGCACGAAACCCCCCAAAAAGTTTAGGGGTGATGTTTCATATCTAGAACTGATCACAAGATGGACGGACAGACAAAACCCATTTCAATATCCACCCATAATTTCGTCTTGACACGAAACCAAAAAACAAGTTTACGAATGCTGTATATTTTGATATTTATTATATTTTAATATCATTATAACATATTTATGTGGTATATTTTAATGTTATTAACCTAGGTCATTATTTAAATCAGCACTTTATCTATAGATATATAAAGGAATGTATGACAATTCATCCCAAAGACAATTCATCTCAAAGACAACTCATCCCAAAGACAACTCGGCCCAATAGAAGACCACTCATCCTGAGATAGAAGACAACTCATCCCCAAGACCATTCGGCGCAATAGAAGACAACTCATCCCAAGATAGAAGACCACTCGTCCCACTATAGTGTTTGTTTTAATACGTGGGCTGAAATATAAGACCACTTGGACCTATAAAATACTCATTATTTTCATTTTTTGTTCATTCTGTTAGTTTTGTTGTCTCCACACCTTTTCAATAACTGGGATGAGTTGTCTTCTATCTTGGGACAACTTGTCTTCTATCTTGGGAAGAGTTGTCTTCTATCCTGGAGTGAGTTGTCTTCTATTTTGGGATGAGGTGTCTTCAATTGGACCGAGTATTCTTAGAATGAGTTGTCTTTGGGATTAGTTGTCTGGATACCATATAAAGCTTAATGAGGATATAATAATACAGTAACATATATTGCATAAATACTTGGAATACATGTCGATAACGAAAAAGACAAATTATAATAATAAATATAATCCTATCCGTACATGTATATAAAGAACAATTAGCATGAATATATGTCAATAATGAAAGACAAGTTCAAATAATTAGCATATAAAGCCTACATGTATATCAAAAACAATCTGCTGGATACATGTCAACCACGAAAGACAATTTTAATAATTAAGATGTAAGCCGACATATATATCAAAAACAATCTGCTGGATACAAGTCAATAACAAAAGACAAATTTGAATAATTAACATATTAAGATGTACGCCAAGATGTATATCAAAGATAACCGACCTCAGTACATAATAATATAAAAGACGACTCCATTAAACAGAAACATTATTATGGGTCATTGATTTCACACCATCTTCTTTATAGGAGCACAATATTGGCCATTCACACCATATCTTCTTTTCAAAATATATAAAAACTGTTGAAAACAAATCTCTGCTCGGAATATGATATGATAGGAAGGGAGATAACCAGGTAGCTATCACTATTATTAATATAAATAAAATAGGGATAACCAAGTGAATATTTAAAAAAGGACCAAATAATCATAATATACACATAATACCAATCTAATTTAAATACAGATCTATATTTCGTTTCGTTTTTTTATACTTTCGCTAGCCTACATGAAGATCTGACCAGTTGTAGTGGAAGGTCGCGTCAGAGGTCATACGAGCAGCTTTTACCCTATGATGTCAGACAATTGATTAACCAATCAGCATTGATGTTTCTAGTGGTTGACCCAAAGTTCCGTGCACCTCCCGTTGTTTCATTGGCTAATCCCTCACATCATCCAGAATGCGAGTTATATAACAACTCTTCCAGATCCTAGTGTAGTAAAAACAAGTAAAACAAAATTTTGAACTATAAAAATCGAAACGAAATAGGATCTGTATTTTAATCAAATTGATATAATACAAAATTCGGAATGATCATTTAAAATGTTTTTACAAACTTAAACAATAATTAAATTTTAACAAACTAAAAGTTTGGAATGATGAAGATAGAAATGTAATTTAAATATAAGATTGGAAGCTTAGAACAAGTAGGAATGTACCATAATTAAAAATATAAAAATTTAACAATAAAAATATGTTAAAAACACTGAATAATAAAAACATATTTGGTTTCATTTGATAACTGAAATACAGTTCTCTGATCAGTGCAAAATGATTTTAGCAGACGAGATTAAAACAAGCCAGAGCCACCTAGAAGTGTTCAGTAAACACTATCGGTGTAGACTGGAATAACTGGACGCTAGAGATTGCCATTCTTTTCAGACTTCTGGCATATTTTGCCGAACATAACTGATTTAACGGAAATGATTGAATGTAAATCAGTTTATATACATTCATATTACATTATTATATGCATTGCGACCCATTTGTGTCAATTTCTAGGTCCCAAATATTAGCGATTTAGCTCCTTTAACCTTTTTGTTGCCTAAATATTGGAAGTTGGGAACCCATAATTAACGAAACAACATCACAGTGTCTTTTTTGTTTGTTTATGAAGTCGAGTCACTCGGTCTGTTTAAACTATTAAGTTAGAGACTTACCTACTTTAATCTACTATTTACATGTAGACAACATGTATATAGGCCTAATAATTAATACAAATAAATATACAGGCCTAATATTTGATATACATACGATTTAAATTTGATTCAACAGTAAAACGGCTTAACAAATTTCTACAAATACTAAAACATTAGACATTGAAACAAAAAACTTAATTATTATAAAACTAACCTACATATTAACTATGATCTCTTTACCTCGGATATTTATTATATTTCTATTATACATAAAGATGTCAGTCTTCATTAGCCCAGTCGATGCATAAAAGTAGGACGTTTCATTTCATTTACAAAAAGAGGTAGCCTACAGAAGAGAAATATACATGAAAAAATTAAATGAGGTTTAACGTCCTACTTTTTCGGCACCGATAGGGCTAATGAGGTCAGGCGAGTAAAGGTAGATAACTCTCCATACATATTTTACAAACGAGATGGGTTCTGCTACTTGTGAACTGGACTAATTACAAACGACACTCGACAAACCTCCGCAGACTCCAGTACCCTACATCTAACCTCGGCTTTAGACGAATTTCAAGTTCCTGGATTACAAATGGTGTTGCTCATGAAGACGCCTGTGATAAGTGTTTTATCATACAAAGTTTTCAATGTCTTAAGTTATTTTCTTTCAAGTTTATCCGATTTTCTTTAAACAAAGGACAACTTTGCAATAAAATAATTCTACACACTCTTTGAACGACACAATTTTGAAACTTGTTTCAAAATGGCGCAAGTTTTCTTAAGTAAACCGGTAGCCCCATCACAATTGTATAGGTGTAGGTACATATCACTTACTGTCATACAGCCGAGCCTAAATGTAGAGTACCGCAAACGAGAGATTGTACAGAAGAGAAATATACATGTCGTGGAAACTACGAAAAATAAAACTAAGAGTTTTATTCTGTAATAAATAACATAGCTATATATAAATATACAGTAAAAGGTTATAGTTAAAGCTACTCTCAGGTGTTAGATATTAGAAACATTATATCAATGTTGAACATCATACAAGAAATAATTCCTATTATTAAGGCCTTGATTTGGACAAACTTTCTCAGACATCATATTGGCAGTTGGGGAGCCACGATGGCTAAGTGGGTTAAGACGCTGGCTCGCTAGCCTGGAGGTTGCATGTTCGATCCCTGCATTGGCCGAGAATGTTCATCAGGATTTCCCGACGTGGTTTCCCCTTGTCAGTGGTGCAGGACAAAAATAAACCCTACTGATCAATGTATTTAGAATTGATGTAATTAGTACAATCATTGGTTGTTATACATATAACGCAATATTTCAACAAGTTTTCTCGATCCTTTTTCACGCTCACATTTCTTAACTAAATGGGGGGTTGGATGGCCGAATGGTCAGCATGTCCGCACTTTATCATAAGGCCTGTCATTGAGTCAACTGGCGAATTATTAAAATAAAATTGAAACCATGTTAGTCCCGAAATGACCTAGTTTGTGTCGAGTGGACATTAAACCCCATTTCTCTCTCTCTCTCTCTCAACAAAATTTGCTTTTGTCTGAGAAAATCGTCTTTTAAATAATTTCAAGTAAGCGGCAAAATGACATGATGCATAGATAAACATATGAGGAGGCTCTAAACTTTAAAATAAAATCTTATAAAAACAATCAAATCAAGATAACTTTGCATAAGATTGGATTTAAAAATATTAAGCACACTTTGATTTCAAATCAATAGCCTGAGCTGAAGCTGTATACAACATTAATATTGTAAATAACTGGACAATGGATATTGTACAAACTGAGTTTTAGTTAGTTAAATATACATTATGCAAGAGCTAAATCTGCCTATTGCAGGTCTTTCTTTAGGCCTGAAATGTTATCTAAATTATTAATTAGACATTAATTAACTTATCCAGACCATAATCAACTCTAGATGGCATCGCTAGCCTGCGAGCTTTAATGGATTATGAGCCGATTTACTGCATAACTTTTCTTCACAATTTAACGATTAAATGGATAATCAAGACTATGATGTTTATCGTTCTGACTTTAGTAATGATGATCGAGGCTAGACGGAAATTTCAACCGCTTATTAGTTCACGGTTCATAGTGGATCAATTTGAATGAAATTTTCAGCAAATTGCCTTTACATTATCTAGTTTTTAACGGTATAAAACGTGATTAACGGTAAACGTTAACTTGGTCAGCCATACATTGATTTAATTTTTAAATAGATGACTGTTTAACTCCAAGCTGTATCCTAGCCATCCAAGGGTCTACAGAGTTGATTTTGAGCTTGTAAAGTAAATAAACGTCTAATTAATCATTTTATAACATCTGAAGCCTAAAGAAAGACTTGCAATAAGCAGATTTAGCTCTTAACTAATTATCTTTAATAATTACACAGCTAATAATGGCAACCCTTTTTTTCCTGTGCCGTTATTGGCATTGCTGGACATTATATAAACTGAATTTTAGGTAAGAGTCACAGGTAATGGCTACCCTAACTATTTTTACATGTGCCATTTTTACCATGCCATTATTACAGGACATTATGAATAATATAAATAATACCTGGCCGTTTCCTGTGATATTTTTACTGGGCATTAAAACACATATTATCTGATAAAAATAACTACGAGAATCCAAAAAGACTGGTTGTAATTCAAAGGTCACCGGAAAATCTTCATAAATTTTCAATCTGATTACAATAGAGATCTGTATTTCGTTTTTTTTTATGCTTATGATGGCCTACACTACAAGAAGATCTGCTCGGTTGTTGTGGAAGGTCGCGTCAGAGGTCATACAACCGTTTTTTTTTTTACCCTTTGACGTCAGACATTTAATTAACCAATTAGCGTTGATGGTTCTAGTGGGTTACGCACAGTTCCGAGTAACCCATGCCAAAAACTCGAATTAAAAGACCGTTTCATTGGCTAATCCCTGACATCATCCAGAACACGGGTTACATAACAACTCTTCCAGATCTTAGTGTAGTAAAGACAAGTAAAACGAACTTTTGAATTATAAAAAATGAAACGAAATAGGATCTGTGTTTTAAACAGATTGAAATTTTTTTTAAATAATACAAGTCATTATGTCAACATATTCTTTCCGTAAGTATAACACGATCGTGAATATCAATGTTACCTGCAACAGGTAAATTTCAACAGGTAGATTTTCGCTGTTCTCTGTGTGTAGTCTGCCAATAAACATGCAATGACGTAATTTTAGTCCGTCTGCTCATATTCTACTCTATATTTCTATGTCTGGCGCAATATAGCCCGGTTGGAGCTGACGTGCCATTAAACAACATTTCAATCATTCATTCATTCCATTTATATTTCTATGAGTAGAAGGACTAAAATTACGTCACAGCTTGTTTTTGGCAGAAAGTTAGGTCTACTCACGGAGAATAGCGGAAATCGCTAATGTTCAAATTTACCTGTGGCAGGTAACATTGACATTCATGATGACCGTGTTATACTTGTGGAAAGAATAGGCTATGTTGACATAATTGGTTGCATTATTTAAAAAAAAATATGAAGCTTTTCCAGTGACCTTTAATTTATTTGAAACATTCTGGGCAAAACATCTTATAATGAACGTGTAATACAAACTGTGCACGAGTATCAAAATTTAATTAGAACAGTCGAGTATTAAGGAAAGAGCTGATGATCAATGAACTTAATTTATCACTCTGCAAATTTTGTATTTTCAGGGAATGACCAATGAATAACATACAATTTCTTGTTTTGATCCTGAAGTGCTAAGATCCCTACCATGACCCTATCTGGGCTTGTTATACATGTACCAATACATCCTTCTATTTCTATCATCGTAAAGATTTGTTTGATTAAAAAATTATATAAGCAATTATAACTAACGTTTACGATGAAAGTTTGTCACTATATCAATATTTAATTCATTGATTTACAAAACATTTCTTTTTAATAATTACAACACAGCCATTTGTTTAGAGGATCACAGAAAACATGAAAATATCAGATAAGGATCAATGGAAAGTAGGCTATAACTGGTCGTATATGAAAACATGAAAATATCAGAATTATTGGAAAGTAGGCTATAACTAGTCGTATATAAAACATGAAAATATCAGAATTATTGGAAAGTAGGCTATAACTAGTCGTATATAAAAAAAGATGCAGACTAGTTTAAAACAGAGTACTAATATATCAATCGGATTAAAATTCAGATCTATATTTCGTTTCGTTTTTTTTATACTTTCGATGACCTCTCCCTCTACTATACATCTGACCAGTTTTAGTGGTAGATCACGTCAGAGGTCATACGGGCGGCTTTTAACGTCAGACATTGATTAATCAATCAGTGTTGACATTTCTAGTGGTTTACCCACAGTTCTGTGCATTGCACGCCAAGAAGTCGCCATAACAGATGGTTTCATTGGCTAATCCCTCGCGCCATCCACAAAGCATGTTATAGAACAACTCTTCCAGATTCTAGTGTAGTAAAGACAAGTAAAACGAAGTTTTAAACTACAAAAACGAAACGAAATAGGGTCTGAGTTTTGATCCGATTGGCCAATACATCTACCCTCTATTTGATAATATCAGTGTAATTATTATCCTTGACACATACCAACATTGGTATAGTCTCAAAGATCAATGTACTCACAGTGTTCTTGGTGACAGATCAACGTTCTTCATGTCACAGATCAGTGTAATCACAGTGTTCTTGGTGACAGATCAACGTTCTTGATGTCAGAGATCAATGTTCATGGTGACACAGATCAATGTTCTCAGTGACACAAATCAATTCAAGGTGTCAATATAGATCAACGTTCTTGGCCTCACAGATCAGCATTCATGGTGACACAGATCAGCATTCTTGTTCCCACAGATAAATGTTCTTGGTCACACAGATCAATGTTCTTTATTTACTCTAATATATAAACCTACAATTGGAATCACTGGATTTCTTCAGTTATTATCCACACTGGTACAGGTATCCATCACCTGTAAATATTTCTAATTCTACTAGTTACTATATCATATTAAACTACAGTTAATATACTAAACTAATCACAGGCAATATATTTCACTTATTATAAACCTATAAAATCTACACGTTACGTCCTCAGTCATACAACATACTATGTTTTATTTATTATAGTTATACACTGCAGTTTGTCCATGGTCATAAAACATCATTTATTACAGTTATACACTGCAGTATGTCCATGGTCATTGAATGTTACATTAATAAGCTGCTACAAGCTAGATCCATAGAAATGTTCACATATCGTTGGTGCATATAATGTTAATTTTGTATTCTTCACACCAAACCTCGTAACTGTAAAAATGTTCACATGTATCGCTAACTTCGATTTTTCATCGAACACGAACTGAAACTATTTGATTAATCAAACTTATGTCATTTTCATTAGTCAATTCAATATGAAATTTTCCAGAGGTGTCACCTTAACGATTGTTTAAACGAGAAACATCAAAAGTTTATATCCTTGATGCACAGGTAAATATTACGTCTGCTAATAATGAAGAATAGCAGGCACAGGAATATAATTTTCTTCATACCAAATATGGTAATAATTGAAGATATTTTTAATGGCATTATTAAGAGTCTCTAAAGCAGTCAGACAGGCACATAAACAATAATTGTCTAGCGCTAAATGGTATTCTGGATCTAGGGTGCAGGCGTGTCTGAAACTGACGGCTGCCTCCTCGAACAAGCCCATCTCCATTAAAGCATAACCGAGAACGGAACTAAGGAACGGAACTTCTGAAGCGTAAACGTTTTTCATCAATTCCAAAAGACATTGATCAGCGTGTCGTGTTTGTCCTAACATTTTATGAGAGAGAACTTGTAAGAATTGCCCTAAACACACAGATGGCATTGCCACCTCCTCCTGGGCATCTACTTCATCTTGTAAGGCTTCGGGTAACGTCACTTTTTCCAACCCACCATAAACAATCTCTGGTAATTCTGTTTTGGTTTTCATGGCATCCTCCAGATACATGATCGCGTCCTCGTAGTTACCCTGACTATACAGGAAGTTGGCGTACTTCACACACACGCTTTGATTCATCTCTAATTTCAGAGCATCTTGGAAGTATCCCTCAGCAGCTAAAATCATCTGTAACTCGCTATCAATATCTTCGCAGATACAAGCCTTTACATAGCACATGGTTGCTAGGTTACCCAATGTAACGCACATCTCTGGACCAAGAGTTCCTCCATGAAGTTCACGGAAGACTTCCAGACCTTCCTTGTACGAGTCAATTGCTTTATCAACATCTCCAGCCATGGAATGCATCTGCCCCAACTGATAAAGAGTGCTGACCAGATCTCCCTTTATATCTTCCCCAAGAACATCCTGCATGTCCCTCGCTTGCTCCAGATACTCAATTGCATTCTCGTACTGATTCATACTGATGTTAGCCTCTGCAGACTTGCTCAGCAGTTGGTTGTGCAGGGCCATGTCTTCTGACGATTGGTTCATCTCATCCTCCCCAGCAGTGGCATCACCTGTATCCGCTTCATCTTTAGCTGGTTCACCAACCTCCAGAGCTTCGTTATAGTAGACTAAAGCTGTTTTGTAATCATACTGAGCAAAGTAACAATCCCCCAGGATGTTTAAAATTCTCATCGCTTGACGCTTCTCTCCATTTTTCGTTGCTCTCATAAAGGCTCGTCCAATATTCAGATATTTAATGGCTTTATGTTGGAGATTCAGCACATTATATGAATTACCGAGGATGTACAGATTCTGACAAACAAGCCAAAATCGTTCAGTTGGAACCACCACAATGCCTTCCCCATGCATGACCCAAAATATCTCAAAAGCTTGGTAGCACAACGAAACACATTTATGATATGATTTGATCTTATAATAAGCTATGCCCATGAGGGATAGCAACAATCCATGCAAGAAAGTATTGTAATCTAATTTGTGGGCGTGTTTCACCATCGAGAAGGCGATTTCAAATATAGAGGCTGCTCGTGGATAAACATGTAACATGAATGTCGCCACTCCTAGCATCATCATCACATGAGCATTTTGTAGAAAGTGATCTTTACCGAACACATTTGAATCTTTAAACAATGGCATTGCTCGTTCGTACGCATCTAATGCCTTGGAATATTCTGTCTGTACGAAATAACAGTCACCGAGCTTCATCAACGCTTTCGACAGCATGTCTAATTCCGAATCAGCGTGTTTCTCAAGAACAGACAGAGCTTCTTGGTAACATTTTATGGCTTCGTTCAAATTTTCTTTACGCTTGACTTCATCCTCATTAGTTGGATCTTGTTCTTTACTGCGACACATTTCTGGGGCGACTTCCCCAGTATCGTTGTCATCGCATGCTTCTTTTTCGAAAAATTCACGAATGGATTTAATGATGGAAAGATAAAGCTGATCTGTCGTCAGAGAGGAAGCAACGTAAGCATTACCCATGTCGATTAAAACTAACGATATCTCCCTGTGAGCTACCCCATCTTGTAAGTCCCGAAATAATTTCAGCGCAACTTCAAGACACGCCATACCTTTCGCCATATCCCCTTGTTTAAGGCACAGAATTCCAAGATTTTGTTGAAGCTGTCCACTAAATCTCAACATTCTCACTGTTCCATCCATAATATCTTCGATGATCTGTAAAATTTCTTCGCACAGCAGCTCAGATTTAGTATACTCTTTATCTTTGATTAATTTGCCCACAACTTGGTGAAAGACTTTGGCTATCGTCAATTTCACTGGTTTCTCGCTTAAGACCGAGACTATTTCTTTCTCCTTCGTATCCTGATCATCATCTTCTAAGTCTTCTTCTCCTACATTTGCTTCATCCTCAGGTTCTTCATTATCTTCAAAAACATCATTTTCCTCAAGAGACATTTGGTCATCCTCTGGTTTTTCTTGAATTTTTTCAGATTTTCCATTTAAGTCAGCTTCGATTGCTTCCTCATCATCAGAGCCAAGATCCTGAGATTCATTTGTTTTTGGGTCCGTTTTCGATAACTTCATTACTTCATCCAAAACTTGTTGTCTGTTTTTATTCAGCAGACGTTTCAGACAATAAAATCTGATCCGCTTAAACCAGTTGGATTTCGAATCTAAAGATTCTCCTTCAATGGAAGAAGGGACTTCATGAAGACTCTCAAGGCTGAGTGCTTGTGCTAAGAATCCTGGTTCGTAAGGTTTTAATCCCATCACATTGGACAAAGGAAAGTTGGAGGCTGTTATTGCCGTTCTGAGGTTACCCGCTTGAATGATTTGAGCGGCTCGAGCGGCATTTGGATCGATGGCGCGCCAACCACTACTTAACCATTTATATAAAGTTCTACTAAGCAGATCCTCAAGACTCTTGCTCCTATTTTCAGCATACTCTCTCTTGCTCAAATAACATTCACTCATTTCCTTATTGTCAGTTTTAGCTTTATGTTCACACAACTCAGTGGCTTCACCAAGTAGAGCTGCAGCATGAACACACAGCCACTGCCACTCCAATGGACTTTTTCGGCTTTGTCTACTTTTCCGTGTACACACTTCCGCTAACCCAAAATATATTTCGATCAACTGCTCATTGCTGTCATCATTTGGGTTTTCCCCCAGTTTACGATAACACTTAAGAAACAGTCTTTCAGCTGCAACTAAATGAAGTTCTTCCAAAAACTGTTGAGCATTTTCCAGTAATTCCTGGGTAGACATCAGGTTCTCAGGATCTTGTTCTTCAACAGCTGGTTCCTCTTCAATCACCTGGAAGTAAAATCACAAAAACTAAATATATGCCCCCGTAAAAACCTGTACAAAGAATAAGCTGGCATCTCTGCAAACGTTATTCGAATTATGGTCCAAAATCAAAAGGAATTAAAATCAAGTGGCCATAACTTCAGAGAGAGAGAGAGAGAGAGAGAGAGAGAGAGAGAGAGAGAGAAATGGGGTTTAAGTCCACTCGACACAAACTAGGTCACTTCGGGACTAACACATCGTTTAATTTTATTTCAATAATTCGCTTGCGCGTAGGGGTCTTTAGCAGTGGGAGGAAACCGGAGGACCCAGAGAAAACCCACGAGGTTGGACAGGCGACCCTACTCCTTGTCACGTACAACTGGGGATTCGAAACCCCACCAGTTGACTCAACGACAGGCTTTATGATACAGCGCGCACATGCTAACCATTCGGCCATCCACCCCCCCCCATAACTTAAGAATTGATTGACATCAATTAATAGTTCTCAAACTACCAGTAGTACCATGCTATGTTAATTAAGGGGATGTTTATGCTTAATGTAGCAACTGTTGTTATCAGGTAATCAAGCGCTTTTCGAGTGTAAACGGACTTGAACAAATATGATAGTACAAATATTATTACTATATTTCACTTTAGAAATATAATACGGTGGTGTGAATACCAACGTAAACTAAAAATGGCCATATAACTTCAGTTAGAAATGAGCCATTTGAATGAGATTTTGACCACTTATGTTTTTTAATAAAAAGTGCTTTTAGTTGTGTGTGGTCTTCAAATCTATTTGTAACTATTATTCCTGCATGTTGGTTTGACTTACCAGAATTGCTCAATATCCCTTTTATTAGTAAATACATCAAGCCAATACATTACTGACATCCCACGAGTCAGTCCAGATAGCTTAATAAATCCTTGGTAAGTCATTATTTCAGAAATGGTATACTACTTACCTTATCATTCTCATTTCCATCTGTGACATCTTTCTCAATAACTTCTTCCACTTTAACATCCTTTTCTTCTGGTTCACTAGTAACTGAGGACCTAGAGGTACCCGGTTTAACTACAGTCCTAGATCCCATGCTGAAGATGTATTTTGGTGGTTGAGAATCAACATTGTGCTTAGCTCTTGGTGATCTAGGAGCAAGTGCTGGAGAAAGAGGTCCAGTTCCTGCTGATTTAGTCACCTGAAGACTTGACCCACTCATGGTGTTTATAGCGCTTGAACTTGATGAGTTTCTTTCTTTAATGCTGGGTTGTTCATAAGAATCTTTGGATGCTTTCGTGAGATTGGATTTGGTTGTTTGATTTAAGCTGTTGGAAGTACTGGATGTGATGGCTGAGCTCTCTGTTGTTGTGGTTTGGGAAGATCCTGTACTGTCAGCAGTTGAAGATGCAGGTGCACCATAGTTATATGCTCTGGATGGGTACCTATACGTATATCTACTTGTGGAGGATGTAACTTGTGGTGTAGCTTCTTCAGGACTTTTAGTATCCACAAGTTTAGATTCACTACTGGAGCTAGTACTATTTATAGCAGAAGTGACTTGATTACCATAATTAGAAGAAAGAGAAGAATGTATGTATGGATGAGTTGTTGTGACTACTTCAGGCTCTGGTTTTGGTTCTTCTAATATAGGAGTTGACGTCCTGGGTGCTCCATCACTGGTTGAATCTAATCCATATTTAAAGGAGCGAGATGGATATCTGTATGAGTGAGTGGAGGTGGTTGTTGTTTCTTCTGGTTTTACTTTACTAGCTTCAGTGACTTCTGGATCTTTCTTAGATTCTTCTTGGGTTTTTAGGTTAGTTGAGTAACTACTAGATGTGTATCTTGATGTGCTGTAAGGATACCTGTAGGAAGACGTAGTGGTCGTTACCTTAGGCTCAGGCTCTTTCTTAGATTCTTCTTGATTCTGGGAAACTTTTTGAGAGGTGTTTGATGTGTACCTTGAGGATGAATACGGGTATCTGTACGATGAAGTTGTGGTAATGACCTCAGGTTCTGATTTTGGTTTATCTTGATTTTGTGGAGTTGGTGTTGAACTAGTGGTGGAGTACCTAGAATTGTTATATGGATATCGATAGGAATGGGTTGTTGTTGTAACTTCTGGCTCCTTTTCACTAGTTTTAGTTTCTGTATCTTTATTTTTTGTACCCACAGCAGTATCTGAAGAATATCTTGAACTGCTTGATGGATATCTATATGAATATGTGGTAGTGGTAACTTCAGGTTCGGACTCTACTTTTGTTTCTGCTGACTCAGTTTCTTGGATTTTCGGGGAATTTGAAGTATACCTTGAAGAGCTATATGGATATCTATAAGAGTAGGTGGTGGTGGTCACTTCTGGTTCTGCTGTTTGTTCAGGCTCTTTTGTGGGTTCTTCTTTAGGAGTCGTACTTGTGCTGCTGTACCTGGATGTGCTATAAGGAGATCGATAAGAATAGGACGATGTTGTGACTACAGGTTCCGATTCTGTATTTGATGTTACAGAACTGCTGCTGCTTGTGGGGTTTCCATAAGAGTATGAAGTAGTAGTTGTCTTTACATCAGCTTCTTCTTTAGCATCTGTTGATTCCTTTTCCGAAGCAGAAATTCCGTAATTTCGGGATCGCGATGGATATCTGTATGAGTAACCAACATTATAGAGATTTGGCGATGTCTGTCGACTAGAACTCAAATTATCTTCAACTTCTTGTGATTTAGTTTCATAACTTGGAGCGTAATATGAATTCCTGGTGGAATAACCAACGTAGTGCGTGTCAGGCGGCTTGATCTGAGATTCCTCGTTATCGGATCCTTGAGAAGATAAACTATGTGATGAATATCTTGGCTTGTAACGACCTAAATACCCTGATGATGCCAAAATAGATGTTGACTGCGACTGCGGAGCTGTGTTCTCCTTCGATTCTGATGATGCCTCATTGGACGACTGATGGTCTCTGGAACTACTTGTTGATGACGACCTCTCGTTATTTCTTGATGACTGAGTGTAGGAATATCTATTAGTATTTGCAGTGCTGGGTGTTGATTGGCTGGAGGGGTTAGACGACTGGTTATTAGAGGAACTAGGAGATGAATATCGATAGGAATAACGATCTGGTTGTTTTACAGGTGGATTTGAATTTCGTTCCGAAGAAGCGTGATTTCCATTTGTGGCTGTATTCCCGGACTGTTTATTTGAAGACGTGGAATATCTGTACGAGTATCTGTCTGTTGGTGATGATTCCTGATTGGTTAATTGTTTATTGTAAGTATTCTGTGAATAATTGTTCGATCTATGGTTGTCGATCACAGGTTCATCTTTACTGATAGTCAGCGTTGTCTTTATTTTGTCGCTGTCTGGATTGGCCGTACAAAATCCTGAAAAGATATAAAAAATAAGTTGTGTTTAGTTTCAGAGAGAAAGAGAGAGAGAAGGAGAGATGGGTTAACCATCCACCCAACACAAACTAGGTCATTTCGGAAATAATATATGGTTCAATTTTATTTCAATAATTCGCTTGCGCGTAGTGGTCTTTAGCAGTGGAAGGAAACCAGAGGACCCTACTCCTTGTCACGTACAAGTGGAGAATCGAAACCACGCCACTTGACTCAATGACAGGCTTTATGATACAACCATTTGGCCATCCACTCCCCCCACTCGAGAAAAAGAGAAACAGAGATCTACAAACAAATGGTAATCCATCAGAACCTAGAAATTGTTACACCAGGAAATATTTTCAACGAAATAGTAATTATGTTCCATATTAGGTTCCATATTATGTTTTTGTGTTTAGAAACAAGGTTGAAAACTTTGTTTCGGTGGCAATATCACCCTTTACAACTGTGACAGCTTCAAACAACTGGAAAATACAGATCACTGTAGTGCATCAAACTGTTTGAGTCACAGGAAAGGCTGTGAACCACTTAAGGACCGTTCTGTGGCTCGGGCGGTTGGATGGACTCTAGGGAGCAGTTCCGAAAAATTAGTTATAGAATATTTTCTTTTTATAATTTTTAATCATATGTTGTTTGTCTCTTGTCAAATAAACCTACCATACTGATGTACATTTGTGTGAGCGTGATGGACAATGACCAGAATATGTCCCCTTAAGCTTAACCGGGCCCTGGTACCAGCTGCTAAAGGGTTAATGTCAGATTGGTCGACATTTTACTTAACCCTTAGGCTTTAACCACCACAACGTTATACAGCTACATGTAAGTGGTCACGGTCGACCACAGCAAGAACCTTTTTTATAAGCCACATTTGAGTATTTAGTTTCGTATTTAATTGATATGTCAGACAGGAAAATGTCTTGTCAAGTGCATTGAGAAAAACATGTCTTTGTTCAACATTTTTTGACGAAAAACGTAATTTAATGATGTTGGGAAGGTTAAAGATGCTCGAAGCGGTTGAAATACTTATGAATTATTCCGACTCAGATTATATCAATGACACCGATTCTGAAGACGATTTAGAATGATTTGAAAATTATAGATAACTTATCCCCTTCAACTTTATTATTGGTGTCAAGAGTCTATCAAGAAATAGGCATACAAAATATTTCACGTCTGCCTTTATTTAGCCTGACCACTTGACGTCATGCGTCAAAATGACGCCGACCGGTTAAGGGTTAAAGTTAAATCTTCCAACACTCATAACTTGGCTCAGAATAAAGTATTTTAAATGAAATTTTCAATCACTATATTCATTTACCAGCCTCTCACCAGCTTTAGTCACCTTACTAAGGGAGTGTTGCCGTCCTCTTTCTCGTATCCAGTTATATTCATTTTTCATAATGTTTTTAAACTATTACCGGTATACGTGTAGCGAGAACTATCATCTCTTTATCTAAATCTTACATAATGCATCTTTAAATTTAGTTAAAAGAAACTTAAAAAGAAAATCTTTACATGAAGGTAAAGACACTTACACTTTAATATAAGGTCCATGGTAAAGTTTATCCTTTTTTCCCCCCCGCTTTGATGTTAAAGATACATTATGGGAGATTAGATAAATAGCTGGCAGTTCTGACTATAATAGTTAAAAACTAGATAATATAAAGTCAATTTGTTGAAAATTTCAGTCAAATTGATCAACTATGAACCGAGAATTAATGGATTGAAATTTCGGCCTAGCCTCTATCATCATTACTAAAGTCAAGATAAAAAACATAGTCTTGATCATCCATTTCATGATTAAATTATGAATGGAAGTCGAGCAACAAATGGGATCATAATCCATTAAATATCGCAGGCTAGCGATGGCATCGAGAGTTGATTATGTCTTGGATAAGTTTATTAATGTCTAATTAATAATTTAGATAACATTTCAGGCCTAAAGAAACACCTGCAATTGGCAGATTTAGCTCTTGTATAATGTATGTTTAATATATCTCAGTTTAAGTTGAAGTATAATTTGTGACTTGAAAGAGAGAAGGAGAGAAATTGGGTTTAATGTCCACTCGACACTAACTAGGTCATTTTGGCACTAACATATGGTTTAATTTTTTTATTTCAATAATTCGCTTGCGCGTAGGGATCTTCAGCAGTGGGAGGAAACCGGAGGACCCGTAGAGAAAACCCACGAGGTTGGACAGGCGACCCCACTCCTTGTCACGTACAACCGGGGATTCGAAACCATGCCAGTTGACTCGGCAATCCAACTCCCCTGATAAACCTGAATTCTATTTTATTACAAAGTCTCCTTTTACAGAATTTAAATTATTTATTGTGTGTATGTATCTCGGTTCTCCAGTTTCCTCCCACTGCTAAAAAAAACCTATGTGCAAGCAAATTGTCCACTAGACACATATTAGGTCCCAGTGGAGGTCTCTCTCTCTCTCTGTCTCTGTCTCTCTTCTTGTTGCCTTGGGTGGTTTTAAATGACAAACAACAACACCATGCATATAACATAAGAGACAGAATAATTTAATTGGCCACTTAAGCTCTCGACTCATGTAGATGTTTTTACACACTCAAAATAGAAAATAAGTCCTCGCCCTATATATATATATGTACATTTCGGGATCTAAAGCAAGTTTTTACTTTATTATTTTTTTTTATTATTTCAAACGAAACCAGTTTTAAAGTGAGCGTATACAGTGTGTATTGTTCAGTATTTAGTACAAGGTTGACTAAACAGAGAATATTGTCAACTTGAACCAGCGTTTATAACTTGTATACAACCGACTAACAATGGATATTGATATCAGTAACTAACATTAATTCAACCGTTATAGTCCTCAGGTATTATATAGATTGGCCGACAAATTTATTTATGTTTTGCTGTTATTATATACTACCCCGACAAGGTTTTTGCCTAGGACCAACAGCTAACCAAAAGGGAGAAAATGCTGCTGATTTTAGAAATTGGAATGAAACCAAATAAAAAGAGAGAGAGAGAGAGAGAGAGAGAGAGAGAGAGAGATGGGTTTAAAATCCTCTCAACACAAACTAGGTCATTTCGGGACTAACACATGGTTCAATTTTATTTCAATAATTCGCTTGCACGTAGGGATCTTTAGCAGTGGGAGGAAACCGGAGGACCCAGAGAAAACTCATGAGGTTGGACAGGCGACCCTACTCCTTGTCATGTACAACCAGGGAATCGAGACCCCGCCAGTTGACTCAATAGCAGACCGTATGATACAGCGCGCACATGCTAACCCCACCTAATAAAAAGAATCCACAAGGTTATAAGCATGCCTCACCACTCAGTCTGGGATCAAATCAAATTGGAATGAAACTAAAGAACCTCATAAAAACAAATGAAATGAAATGGGGTTAACGTCCTACTGTTCTTCTCCGACTGGGCTAATGAAGACGGGTATACACCATACAGTGTGCTATGAGGGAAATTTTGCCCTGACAGCGGCACTATGACCTACTCTTATATCGAATTTCAACTGTCAAGGGATTTCTTACATGCACGTCAATATATACACGGGACCTCGGTTTTTCATCCCATCCAAACGACTAGAAACCATGATCAAATCAAACCCTTAATAATTCAATAATCATGAGTGTGTGCATGTGTTCCAATTGTCAGTCTGTTATATGAATGGTGTACTATATTAGGGGAGAAAGAGAGAGTGTGACAATCTCAGCTTAAACTGTTAGAATTTCTTATTCAAGAAGCACAGTCAACATTAGTATGATAAAAGATACACAGTCAACATTTAGTATAATAAAAGATGCACAGTCAACATCTAGTATGATAAAAGATACACAGTCAACATCTAGTATGATAAAAGATGCACATTCAACATCTAGTATGATAAAAGATACACAGTCAACATCTAGTATAATAAAAGATGCACAGTCAACATTTAGTTTGATAAAAGATGCTCATTCAACATCTAGTGTGATAAAACGTTGATTGATTAAGCTTGGTGGCTGTGTGAACAAGGTGGTAGGTGTGTGAGCAAGGCAGTGACTCACCAGCCCGGAGGACCCAGGTTTAACACCAGCCCGGAGGACCCGGAGGACCCAGGTTTAACACCAGCCCGGAGGACCCAGGTTTAACACCAGACTTTGCCGGTGAAAGTTCCTCAGACTTCTCCACATGGTTTGCCCATTGTTAGTGATGTAAAATGTATGATATGACAAAGAACAGTTTCTTGATGGAAAACCGAGGTTCAGTGTACACATGTTATTCTACATGTAAAACAAAAGTTGGAATTTTAGCTGCTGTACGGACAAAAGTTTCTTCATAGCACACTGTATTAGGTCATTGTATGCCTGCCTCTTTAAACGGGTTGTAGCAGAAAAGCACTTATACTGGTTGTCAATTTAACATGCTATATTGTAATTGTTGTGATATACATGTATATTGCACAGTTGACTTAGTTAATGTATCAGTGCAGGTATTTATAATGCATGGTTTGACCCCTGTCTTAATGTATATTTATCAGTATGCTTTGACCTGAAAGGAAATACTTAAACATTAACTATAACAATTTAAATAATCCAAGTTACGCTGACCTAAACCTTGCTGTAACATTCTAATACAAACATTGAATAATTTACCCTTATACAGTAACATTCTAATTTACGCTACATATAAAATCTTCCGCTACCAGAAACTATCAATAAACATCCAAGACGAGACAGTTTAATATGGAGTTTACATCTGTTCAACTAACAATGGTTCATTTCAGGACTAACATAAATCCTTATATTAACCCCTACTGTGATATATTTTAATATAAACCCTACTGTGATATATTTTAATATAAACCCTACTGTAATATATTTTAATATAAACCCCATTATACTGTAATATTTCAATATAAACCCAACTGTAATATTTTTCAACATAAACCCAACTGTAATATTTTTCAACATAAACCCTATAATATTGTAATATATAAAACATA